TATATCTCTGAAATTTCTCCCTACCAACAAGCTGTATCTCTTATCTGGTCTTGAATCTTTGGGAGAGGTATTTAATTATGAGCCCTTGCTGCAATCTGGCAGCTGAACCTAGGGGAACAAGTACTAGAAAAGACACTGCAGAATCCTGATTGTTCTGAATTAATAAAGCTGAAAATTTACCTATAAAAAATTTCCAAAAGTAAGTTTTTATTATTAATTGACCCAATAACGAAATTATATGCAAAATAGCATATAAGTACTTAGATGTAATTTAGAAACAAGACAAGATTGATACTACTTTTATTCAGAATGAGGTTTCAACAGAAACTTCAATTCAGTTTTTAGTTTAATTTGGAGATAAAAAACATTCATTTACTTAGGCTAAAGAAAGGAAAGGGTTGATTCATCAAAAAGTTTTATCTATTTAAATTTTAGGGAAAGTATTCTGGAGCTTTGCTTATATTTCTAGATTCATAACTTACTACAAGATATGTATTAATGTAACCTATAGATTTAAAAAATTAATTCATTTGTTTAGTAAAGTTGATTATCAAGAATTTCACACGTTTAATATCAATTAAACAGGAATAGCAATCCCAAACTATGAGTTGGCAAGAAAGAGGAATATTACTGGGAAAATGGATGCTAAAACACAAGTGTAACTTTTACAAATCCTCCTGTTTGGTGAAATGGACAAAAGACCTATTTAAGAATCATGGTGACTTCTTAGCTGCAGTGTACAAGTATACAGGGAAGGATATACATTTTTCCCCAGAGTAGTTTCTCCCTCTTCACCAGCCACCATCACACTGGTAAATGTTTCTGCACATCCGCACACCATGCTGATGCACTCAACACGTCTCCTTAGCCCTACCCTTACAGCAACTGAGATGCCTCAGTACAAAGAGCAAGAAACATTTCAACTTAAAAATGCTACCCCCCCTCATTTTCTTTGTTTTCTTAATATAATAATGTCAAGTATTTCAATGCTATAACTTAAAAAAAATAACTTTTCAAAAGAATATATATTTTAAATGTATCACAATTATGGCATACTAAGTATAGTTATGTATTTAGGCAATCTATGTACTTCATAAGTCCAGGAACCAAAATTTAAAACAGAAAAACACAGGAAAGGCACAGTAAATGATGTGAGAAACGGGTAATGGGACATAGAGACCTGTGGGTAGCTAAAGAGAGGCTACCTCCTGTCAGCCAGCAGTAAACAAAGAGGAGGACGGATGGACTTGCTAGGAAATAGCCTCATTGGTATGAGGTAACTGCCAAAGATTCTGGAGAACTATGTAACAGTTCAGAATTTTCCACTATCAATGTTCTACTGTCTGAAAGGTAGGGATCACCTAATGCTCTGAACCAAGCTGCACTTCCCAGGCATGTCCCCTGTGTGCTTACAATGTACTGGACCCTCAGGCCAGTCAAATGAGATGGCAGATGCAGGTGCTATGGAGAACAAAGCAGTACGTGGTCACCACCTCCAGGTAGAGATGGTTTATGTGCTGCTAGGTGCTGGCCTTGACCTCCATGAGTTACAGTAAATCCCGAATATAAATCCTCCTTAGAAATTCTCACAAGAGTCGGTATGTTGTAGTACTGAAGCCTAGGGCCAGACAAACCTGGATCAACTCCTGGCTCTGCCTCTTACTTTAGTCAAGTTCCTGTAAATTCTCTCAAATATGAAACAGGAATACTCTACTTATCTTAGAAAGGGCTTTTTCAGGGATTACACGAGATTGTTTGTCAAACACGTAGAATAGATCATGGCATATGACAGATAATCAAAATACTGTGGCTATTTTTCCTGCCAAGTACCTACCCAAGAAATGGGTAAGGATATAGTCATATCTTGAGGAAACTGCTTGATTTAAGGGAGTGGGTTTTCTTAATTATTTGCCCTTTTTAAGTCACAGAACTCTCCCCCCCCAATTTGTTTTCAAAATAATTCTTATGAGGAAGCTGTCTATAGAGTGCCCAGAAGTGGAAGCTTCTTTGGTTGCTATGGAGGTGGAAGACCTAGAGATTTGTATCTGTGGAACAGCAAGGATCCCTGAAAATCAAAGTGGCAAAAATATGGGTTTTGTAGTTGGTTTAAATTTGAAATCTTACTTCCACTTTTATGAATCTGTGATCTTGGTTTTCTCATCTGTAAAGCAGGGTGAAAAATACCTACCTCCCAGAATTTCTGTCAATGTTAAATGAGTTATGTCAAACCACCAGCAGTAAAGTTACTACATTATAGGTACTCAAATCTTAGTTTTCATTATTTTACTTCCTTTTTGTAGGAAACAGAAAACGAAGTAGTCAGAGACAGGAATGACTGCATGAGGTACCTAGTGCCTTTAAAGCTGAAGGGGAACGCCAAGGAAAGCATGGGTCTAAGATCTGGAAACCAGCTCATTACCTACTGCTTACAGCACTTAGTTCACTTAGTTCCCCTGCTGAGAAGGATCCTTTAGTTAATGCTTGTTAATATCACCATTGCCAGACTGCTAAACACAACCAAGGAAGCTTAAAGTTTTTTCTTTGTGAAAGATCAAGAGAGAAGTTTGAAGGCAAAAATCTATTTAGCTATGTCCTCTTTCCTCAGGAAATGACTTTAAGAGGTCCTAAATTGTTATTGATTACTTACTCCCTGAGTACCTTTTATAGGCTTAAAGACCTCTACTTCTAAACACCTTTAAAGAGAAGAGATATTTATTTACAATGTTCCTCATTAGCCCATTCTAGCTGCCTCTATGTGGGATGAAGTGAAAGGAACATTGAGAGTCAATATAAAGCTTTATTATTTCAGAAATCCGCACATATTTCAAGCCTTGATGACATGGAAAAGAAAACTGTTTTATACCAGAGCCTAACAACACCCTCTTAAACAACAAATGTATCAAAGAAGAAATCACGGAGAAGTTAGGAAACACTCAGAGACAAATGAAAATGAAAGCACAACATACTAAAACTTGTAAGATGCAATGAAAGCAGTGTTAAGGAAGAAATTTACAGCTATAAATGCTTACATTAAAGAACAAGAAAAATCTCAAATCTACAACTTAAATTTACAATTTAAGAAACTAGAAAAAGAACAACAAACTAAACCCAAAAGTAGCAGAAGGAAATAATAAAGGTTAGAGCAGAGGTAAACATAATAGAGAATAGGAAAGATGAAAAAAATCAGTAAAACCAAAAGTTGGTTCTTTGAAAAGATCAACAAAATTGACAAACTTTGACCTAAAATGACTAAGAAGAAAAGAGAGAATACACAAATCACTAAAATAAAAATTTTAAGTGGGGACATTATTACTAATTCTATAGGAATATAGAATGAGAATATAGAATTGATATTCAATTGTTCAGAGTACTCTCATGATTTTTTAGGAATACTCTGAACAATTGTATACTAACAAACTGGGTAACCAAGAAGAAATGAACAAATTTCTAGAAACACAAAACCAACAAAGACTGAATCACAAAATGTGAATAGACCTAGAATTAGCAAGGATATTGAATAATTAATAAAAAAATTTTCTGTACAAAGAAAAGCTATGGACCTGATGGCTTCACTGGTGAATTCTACCAGGTATTTAAAGAAGTAGCACAGATGCTTCTCAAACTTTCCCCAAAACTTGAAAGGGAAGAAACACTTTCTAACTCATCCTATGAGGCCAGCATGATCCCGATACCAAAACCAGACAAAGACACTAAAAGAAAACTGTAAACCAATATTCCTTACAAGCATTTACACAAAAATCCTCAACCAAAATACTAGCAAAACAAATTCAACACTGTATTAGAAGGATAATACACCAGGACCAAGTGTGATTTATTCCTGAAATGCAAGGATGGTTCAGCATACAAAAATTAACCAATGTAATATCCCACATTAATAGAATGAAGGGAAAAAAAACACATGTTCATCTCACTTGATGCAGAAACAGCATTGTAGTAAGAAAGAAAGGAGAGATGGAGGGAGGGAGGGAGGAAGGGAGAGAAAAAGGAAGGAAGAAGATAATCTGGATAAATATTTAAATTGCTTCTATTTAAATAAATAAATACTACTAGAAGGATAAATAAGAAACTAATAAAAATGGTTACTAATAAATCAACTTGCTTTAAATTAGAGCAACACTGGATTCTTTGGGGAATTATTTTGGTAAAAGTTCCTGAAGTCCTGCCTAGAAAGCCCTTCTTTCCTTTTCTCCTTCTTTCTCTCCCTCCCTTCCTACAAAAACGTATTATTTACCTGCAAGGGGGTTTTGAAAGGCAGGAAGGATACTAGTTCCTTGGCTGAAATCAAGAAATCCTATGTCAATAGTTTCCCTGATACCTAAAAGGTCTAAAATATAAGGCTCAGGCAGTTACAATAAAAACAAGTTCAGTGACTGAGATCCCTGTAACAAGGGATATCACTTATCTTCAGTATGTGAGAAGAAAGGCGGCCCCAGAAGAGCAGTCTAGCTCCTTGACCTGAACGTCTGAAATAGCTCTATTTAAAACACATTGGCTCTTGCTTCAGTTTGTCTTGCTTCACTTTGATTACTGATCACTTTGCCCACCACTTCAGAGACTGATCATGCCGAAAACACTAGACACTGTACACGCTGGAGCCTAATGTATGATTCGTTCTCTATGATATTTTATTATATTCGGTGTGATTCCAATTACCCACTCTCCCACCATTGGTTGATTCTACAAATCAACTGCATTTTGATGATTAAAAATACCCAGTTGCTTGCACATTTGTAAAATTCTTCTTTTCTTTAAAGAAACAATCCATTATATTCTTCATATTAGTTATTCCCTTGGGGAAGAAGTGAACAGAAACACAGGCTCTATACCTCAGTTTCTTCCTAAACTCTAATTAGCTGAAAAATAGAAAAAGACAAGCAATAAGAGAGTAGCATATGATCGGCACAATTACTCTGGTGTACTCCGTAAAAATGTGACTCCCGTAAAAATTAGAAATCAGAAAGAAGAGAACTTTAAAATACCTGTTCTTTCTGTTCAGCACCCACAGTTTTCCCAGGGGAGTGGTTTCCCAGCTGCTTATTCTCTTGAGATTCACGAATCTCTCCTTTAAGCCTTTCAACCTTAAATACAAAAGGGGAGTTGCTTTGTTTTTAAAATATACAAGTAATGCATGAATACATGCTTCATGTAAAATATTCTAACAACACCTAAGTATATAGAGTAAAAAGTGATACTTTCCTTCACATAACCTTACCCCAATGTTCCCTTTCCCCTTTCCAAAAGTAACACTGTTTACAAATATATCCTTCTTGAAATTTATCTCCCAAATACATATGTACACATACATGTCAAACATATAAATATATATCAGTATTAGACATATAAATTTACAAAGTCCACTTGAACAGTTTATTAATTCTTATGATTACAGTTTTAAGTTACAATAAAATACACATAATGCGGAATTTACCATGTTAACCATTTTTAAGTGTACAGTTCAGTAGCATTAAGCACATTCACATTTTTGTGCAACCATCACCACTATCCATCTCCAGACACTAGAGATATGACTGTGAAATGCATATAAACTAAAACTGAAGGGATATATAATATATCCAGAACTTGGAAGTACATATTAAAAATCAGTGAATTGCTAAGGAAAAATGGTTAAAAAATACAACACAACTAAGGGTGTAGTATTAATAATTTCAAACATATCCAGTATAATAGAGTAATAATTTCTATTTGGCAAATGTGTTAAGTATAAACTATTATCTAAATCCCTATTACAAAGAAGAGATCCTAAATTGACACAACAATAAGACTGTAGTTTAACATAGGTAGTTAAGATGCATAAATTACAAATACTGATAGAGTGCATCCAAGTCAAAGAATGGCTTTTTCCTGGGATGCTAGAGCTACCGGTATCAGTCCTCAATAAGACCAATAGGTGATGCGCATCTGTGTTGCTCTACTGCTCATTGTTATTCTATAAACATTTAAATAAATTCTAAGAACAAACTAAATTAAACAACTTACCACTTCTCCAAGCACTTTTCTTTCTGAGTCAAGTGATCTAACCCGAGTTCTTAAAGCCAGAATTTCCTCATTCAGTCTCTGATTGTGTTCCTTTGCTTTCTTTAGGTCAATTGAATCTAAAACAGAGAGAAGAATGCACTCTACTCACTCAACTGGAGCAAAGTTTTAATTTGGGGGCATTAACTCTAAAAACTGAGGAAGCGCTATTTCCTGACCTTGTCATTTCTCTGCATATGTGATTCTCTGCACAACAAAACTGCTAGATTCTAACGTCCAGCTCTAGAATATTCAACTAACCTAAACAGAACAGAATGTTTTTTATTTCTCACATCAAGACTAATGAATTGGACTTTTGAATGTAGGGTTTCCAGCAGTAGATGTTTTTTCTAGGACCTAGAATTTTAAAACAGTTGAACCTACCTTCTAAAAATTAACTGACAGAAAATGACCTTCCTGGCTTCCTTGTAGTCCTATCTTTCTTATACATGTCACATACTCCTAGATACTTTCCATCTACTCATTAACAGCAAGTGCCCCATAGATGACTGAAGTAGTGAGCCAGGAGCAGTGAATGAACAGATTTTCCATGTTAAAGCAGTTAATTCATCCAAGCCACTTTTCTGCCCGAGCACCACTGCCATTACAGTGGTAGTCCACTCTCAGCACCTCATGTTAAGACCTGCCCTTTCCGGCACTCATCAAAGTTTCAATGATAAAACTTGCTGCCCATTACTTTCCTGAATTTGTAGCTGTTTCTTTTTAGCCATCTTTTACTCCAGTTTCTCTTATTTTTCTTTTGCTTCTTTAAGTCTTTGTTTTCCTTCTCATTGCCTGTTTTGTATTTCACTTATATTTTTTCTTTAATTTTTTTCTCCCTTGCTACACTCTTTTTTCCTCCTTAGTATGTAAATTTTTTTTAATTTGAAAAATGCTGAAAACACACCAAAAAGAAAATAGAGCATTTACAATCCCTAAATGTAATAATCACAATTTGTGTATACAATGTGTGTGGGGTTTTCCCCACATATTCAATTATTTCTCAGAGAGTACCTTGGTGTCCTGCAGTTTAACTCAATTCTAACACTATCTACCCAGAAATAGCATCATATTCCTCAGGTTAAGGGCTCAGTCCCATAAGACTGTCCTCCACTTCAGATGCCAATCACAATCTCTGGTTGTTATCTGCGCTTCTGATTGATTACTTCTAAATCAAAGGTTCCCAGGACCTCCTCCTTGGGTTTGTTTAATTTGCTAGAGTGGCTCACAGAACTCAGAGTAATATTTTATTTATTATATTACCAGTTTATTTTAAAAGGATATAACTCAGGACAGCTAGATGGAAGAGATGCATAGGGCAAGGTATTGAGAAAGGGGTGCAGAACTTCCATGCCCTCCCTGAGAGCACCACACTCCTCAAAGTCCATGTCTTCACCAACCTGGAAGCTCTCCAAACCCTCTCCTTTTGGGTTGTTGTGGACATAGGCACGGCTGATTAAATCACTGGCCATTGGTAACTGAACTCAATCTTCAACCTCTCTCCCTTTTCAGGAGATGGGAGGGATCCCAGTTTGGGGGTGGGGAGAAGAGTGAGAGGGTACTGAAAGGTCCCCTGTAACCAGTTCCCATCATCCTCTGGTTACCTAGGGCCTCTCCAAAACTCCTCATTAACATAACAAGATATCTTTATTGCTCTCATCACTGAGGAAATTGCAAAGGTTTTAGGAGCTCCATGCTTGACCAAATGTGTATTTCTTGGTTTGAGTCACAGCATCACAGGGTTAAGTAGTTTTAGAATTACTTAAAAACAATAAACATATTTTAAATTATTTTTCTAGTTGCTACCATTACAACAGGCAAATTTCACTATATTATTTATAGCCGGTAGCATTTTTACATAGTCAAGCTAGGGTCAGATTTACTAATTCACCACTGATGCCAAGTCTGTTGGCTTCCCAGTGAAAAAATATGTGTGAGGTGCTGTGAAATGCATTTTAAGGTGTCTTGATCTCAGTTGTCCTAGTAAAATATGTATTATTTGTGTTCACCACAGGTTTTGGAGTCCAGACATATCTGGGTTCAAACACCAGCTATAATACTTAATGTAGCTATTGGCTAATTCACTTAACCTCACCATGACTCTGTTTCTTTATCTATGGAATTGGAATAATAATACTCACTACTTGGAACTGTTGTGAGGATTAGAGATAATGCATGTAAAGTGCCTGGCAGAGTATCTGTTACTTATAAGCAACAAGTAGTAGTAATAGCAAGAATAGTAGAAATAGTAATAATAGCAGTAGTAGTGTTATTATTATTATAATTATTAAATATTATTGTAGAACATTATTTAATGTTATATTATTGTTTAATGTATTATTGTTAAATATTGTTATCTGCTAAAATGACTCACCATTTTCTCTCAGCTTTGTCAAATTTTTTTTCAGTTTCTCAATTTCTAGTTGAGCATTCTCAAGTGCAAAATCTAAAGGGAAAAAAAATACAGGATGGGGCAAAAGTAGGTTCACAATTCCTCATATGGAAAATAATAAATAATAATACAAGAAATAACTGTTTTATGTATTCACAATTGTAAACCTACTTTTGCCCACCCCTGTGTTTATGTAAGGAGCAAATGATTAGTGTGATCATCAAATTTCAAATGACTCGTGGGCCTCCTATAATGTCAGGATGAGGATTCTCCCAGAAGTAAGAGACTAACACCAATGTTATAAAAGATTATTCCTAATCACAGAAAAGGTGCATGGGACAAAGTCCAGAGAAAATCAGGCACAAGCTATCAAGAGTCTTCTAGTGAAGTCACCAGCAAAAAAAAAATTGAGACTTCTGGTCAAGATGGCGGGTAGGTAAACACAGTATCACGTCCTCCCACAACCACATCCAAGTTACAACTAAACTACAGAACAACCATCATTCAAAACCGCCTAAAATCAAGCTGAATGGAAGTCCTACAACTACGGAATTAAAGAAGCTGCATCCAGACTGGTAGGAGGGGCGGAGGCGCGAGGGGCGGCGGTGAGGCGGTGAGACAGGCTGGTCCCACACCCATGTGTGGCGGATAAAAATCAGGAGGACACCTCGGCTGGGAAGGTCCTTCCTGAGAACTGAGGGGTCCCTGTCCCACACCAGGTGCCCCGCTCAGAGTTCCAGTACCAGGAAGAGAATCCCCATCACTTCTGGCTGGAAAAACCAGCAGGAACTGAAGCTCAGGGAAGCTGAAGCGGCTGGAGCCCCAGGCAGCTCCCTAAAGGGCCCGCGCACAGACTTATCAGACTCTCTCCCTCTAAGCTTGGAGGGGAGGCAGCTCGAGGGGCGCCAGAGACATACAGGGAAGAACTGAGCTGTTTGGCACTGGAGCGAGGGCTTTCTCCGGGACAAAGTGCTGTCAGAAGTCTTTGTTCCTTTGGTGAGCCCTTCCCTGGGGCGGCAGACAGAAGCCATATCTGGGACTTCAGCAACCTGGCTCACACTGGTAGCCCCGCCCTGGTGGCTCCCTGAGGCCTCGCCCCACCCCACCCAACTTTCAGGCCCACCCAACTTTCAGGCCCACCCAAGCTGTTGCTACTTGCTTAACCATAGGATTGGCCTGTCTTGGATCCTGCTTCACGTTTTTCCTAAATTCTTTCAAACGAGCAGCATCTGGTCTCAGCTAGCCCCATACCTCTCATTAAGTGATACACAGAAACAAACACAGGGAGGCAGCCAAAATGAGGAGGCAAAGAAACAGGTCCCAAATGAAAGAACAGAACAAAACCCCAAGAAAAGAACTAAGCGAAATGGAGATAGGTAACCTAACAGATGCTGAGTTCAAAATACTGCTTATAAGGATGCTCAATGAACTCAGTGAGGGCCTCAAGAGCATAAAAAAGGACCTGTCAGAAATGAGCGATGCACAGTTAGAAACGAAGGAGGCTTTAACTGAAATAAAGAATAATTTACACGGATTCATTAGTAGAGTACGTAAATCCAAGAAGCAAACCATTGATTTGGAATATAAGGAAGCAAAAAACGCCCAATCAGAACAGCAAAAAGAAAAAGGAATCCAAAAAAATGAGGATAGTCTAAGGAGCCTCTGGGACAACTTCAAGCGGGCCAACATTCGCATCTTGGGGGTGCCAGAAGGAGAAGAGAGAGAACAAGAAATTGAAAACCTGTTTGAAACAATAATGGTAGAAAACTTTCCTAACTTGGTGAAGGAAAGAGACATACAAGTCCAGGAAGCACAGAGAGTCCCAAACAAGATGAACCCCAAGAGGCCCACACCAAGACACATCATCAAAATGCAAAAGGTTCAAGACAAAGAGAGAATCTTAAAAGCAGCAAGAGAAAGGCAACTAGTTACCTATAAGGGAGTTCCCATAAGGCTGTCAGCTGATTTCTCAAAAGAAACTTTGCAGGCCAGAAGGGAGTGGCAAGAAATATTCAGAGTGATGAAAAGCAAGAACCTGCAACCAAGATTACTCTATCCTGCAAAGCTGTCATTTAGAATCGATGGCCATATAAAGACTTTCCCAGACAAGAAAAAGTTAAAGGAGTTCATCACCACCAAACCGTTATTATATGAAATGATGAAGGGTCTTTTTGAAGAAAAAAATAAAATATATGAACAAACAAAATGGCAATGAATACGTATCTATCAACAATGGAATCTACAAACAAAATGAACAGGTAGAACAGAAACATTCTCATAGATACAGAGAACATTTTGTTGGTTGCCAGATGGGAGGGGGGTTGGGGGAATGGGTGAAAAAGGTGAAGGGATTAAGAAGTACAAATTGGTTGCTAGACTGACAAACCTCAAAGGGAAAGGGGTTGGGGGGGTGGGAAGAAATAAACCAAAGAACTTATATGTATAACCAATGGATACAGACAATAGTGTGGGAAAAGGCGGGAGGGGGGCAGGAGTGGGGAGGAGGGGGGTCAATGTGGGAAAAATGTGGAACATCTGTAATACATTCTACATCCAACAATAAAGATTTAAAAAAAAAATTGACAACACATGTAAAATGTCTACCAGGGAAATCCATTACAGTGCCCAAAGTTTTTATTGGGGACTGGTCACATATACCTCATCTTCTGCCTAGATCATACCAAAATTCCAGGCTCTCAGAACACAAGGAAAGCAGGTTTTCAGCGTAAACCACACTGTACAAACAGATTAAACACAGTGATATTTTGCCCTGGCCAGTTTGGCTCAGCGGTTAGAGCGTCGGCCTGCGGTCCTGAGAGACCCGGGTTCGGTTCCCGCTAAGGGCACGTACTTTGGTTGCAGTTTGTCCCCGGCCCTGGTTGGTCGTGCGGGTGGCAGCCACTCGATGTGTCCCTTCACGTCGATGTTTCTCACTCTCTCTCTCTCTCCCCCTCCCCCTCTATCTGTACAAAAAATGGAAAAATATCCTCGGGTGAGGATAAAAAAAAAAATAAACACAGTGATATTTTAAAGGACTTGCTAATTCAGTTTCCCAACAGTCTACCTCTAGTTTATTCACTGGAGCTAGATTTCAGTTAATAGCTTAGGATCTACCAGACTAACCAACTGCTAATGGAACGGTGCCATGTGATTGTGTTCTGCTGTGTCCAGATGTAACTGAGTAAAGGGTGTCCTGCTTTCCTTTCTCCTGCTTTATTGCAAGCAGCAAAGACTGACTAAAATTTTTTTTTTTTTTTATCCTCACCCGAGGACATTTTTCCATTTTTTGTTCAGATAGAGCGGGAGGGAGAGAGAGGAAGAGACAGAGAGAGAAACATCGACGTGAAGGGACACATCGAGTGGCTGCCACCCGCACGACCAACCAGGGCTGGGGACAAACTGCAACCCAGGTACGTGCCCTTAGCGGGAACCGAACCCAGGTCTCTTTGTACCGCAGGCCGACACTCCAACCGCTGAGCCAAACCGGCCAGGGCAAAATTTTTTTTTTCTTTATTGATTTTTAGAGAGAGAGGAAGGGGAGGGAGAGAGAGATAGAAACATCAGTGAAAGAGAACATTGATTGGCTGCCTCCTGCATGCCTCCCACTGGGGATTTGGCCCACAACCTGGGCATGTGCTCTGACTGGGAATTGAACCAGTGACCTCTTGGTGCATGGGTTGATACTCAACCACTGAGCCACACCTGCAGGACCAAGACTGCTTTTTATTTTATTTTATTTTATTTTTTAAAGTTTTACTCATTTATTTTTCCTTTATTGATTTCAGAGAGAGAGGAAGGACAGGGAGAGAGCGAGAGAGAGATAGAAACATTAATGAAAGACAACATCAATTGGCTGCCTCTTGCATGCACTCCACTGGGAATTGGGCCCACAACCTGGGCATGTGTCCTGATTGGGAATCAAACCAGTGACCTCTTGGTGCAAGGGTCGATGCTCAACCATTGAGCCAAACCAGCTGGACCAAAGACTGCCTTTTTTTTTAAATCTTTACCTGAGGACATTTTTGTAGTATTTATCTTCAGATAGAGCAGGAGGGAGAGAGGGAGGAAGAGAGAGAGAGAAACATGGACGTGAGAGAGACACATCGACTGGTTGCCACCCACACGACCCCCAACCAGGGCCGGGGGCAAACCACAACCAAGGAACGTGCCCTTAGAGGAAACTGAACCCAGGACTCTCTGGTCCACAGGCCAACACTCTAACCGCTGAGCCAAACTGGCCAGGGCCAAAGAATGCTTTTTATTTTTTTTTAATGAATTTTTTTTGTTACAGATATTTTACCTTTTTACCCCATTGGCACCCCCCACCCCACCCCACCTCCGCCCCATCCCCGGCTTAGTTGTCCATGTCCATTGGTCATGCATACATGCATATAAGTTCTGTGGTTTATCTCTTCCCACCCCCCCATCCCCCCACCCCCTCTTCTGAGGGATGTCAGTCTGTGCCCTACTTCCATGTTTCTGGGTCTACTGTATTCCTCAGACTGTTATGTTCATTATATTCCGTATATAAGTGAGATCATGTGGTATTTGTCTTTTTCTGCTTGGCTTCTTTCACTAAGGATAATACTTTCCAGGTCCCTCCATGTCGTCTCAAATGATAAGAGATCTTTCTTTCTTACCGCTGCATAGTACTCCATTGTGTATATGTACCACAGCTTTTTTATCCATTCGTCTACTGGTGGACACTTGGGCTGTTTCCAGATCTTAGCTATTGTAAATAGTGCTGCTATCAAAGAATGCTTTTTAAATAGCCAAATTTCTTTTTCCTTTTTTTTTTTTTTTTTTTTTAATCCTCACCCGAGGATATTTTTCCATTTTTTGTACAGATAGAGTGGGAGGGAGAGAGAGGAAGGGAGAGAGAGAGAGAAACATCGATGTGAAGGGACACATCGAGTGGCTGCCACCCGCACGACCAACCAGGGCCGGGGACAAACTGCAACCGAGGTACGTGCCCTTAGCGGGAACCGAACCCGGGTCTCTCCGGACCGCAGGCTGACGCTCTAACCGCTGAGCCAAACCGGCCAGGGCTGTTTTTAATCCCACAATCAATTTGGCAGAATCGTTATTATTTTATACATATAACATTCTTTAGATGTGATCTAAGGTAACCTATTATGCATTTAAAAAGAATGAGTCTAGCCCTGGCTGGTGTGGCTCAGCGGTTAGAGCGTCGGCCTGTGGTCCAGAGAGACCTGGGTTCAGTTCCCGCTAAGGGCACATATCTTGGTTGCAATTTGTCCCCAGCCCTGGTTGGGTCATGGCCCTGGTTGGGTCATGCAGGAGGCAGCCATTCGATGTGTACCTTTCACATCGATGTTTCTCTCTCTCTCTTCCTCTCTCTCCTTCCCACTCTATCTGAATAAAAAAATGGAAAAATGTCCTTGGCTGAGGATAAAAAAAAGAATCAGTCTTAATTTTTTTAATCATTGCAAATTATAAATATAGAAACAAGACAACTAAAAAATTTTAAATTTTATACTAAAATAAATTATAGATAAAACAAAGATTAAAATATAAACAACAAACCCATAAAAGCACTACAAAAAAACAAACCTGGGGTGAACATTTTCAGTAATATTGTAATGATGTAGAAAAGGCTTTACACATGAAAACTCAGAAGCCATAAAGAATAACTCTGTTAAACCTGACTTGATAAATATTACCATTTCTATATGGCAAAAAAAAACAACACCAAAATCATATTTATAACCAAAAAAGGGCTCATATCTAGAATATATAAAAAACTCCTATAAATTAATAAAACATAAACATACAACCCACTAGAAAAATATACATGAGACTTGAGCAGAAACTTCATAAAATAGTATCTTCAAATAAGCAAGAACAACAAACATATTTTTCAACTTCATTAGCCATCAGGGAACTGCAAATAAAAGCCACAATTAAATACCACTACACACCAGAAAAGAAAGTTAACAAGACCAACAGTATCAAGTATTAACAAGAAATGTGGAACAACCAAAATCTCATATACAACTGACGAGAGCGCAAATAAATACAACTATTTGGAAGACAGTGTAGCAGTAATCTACCAAAGTAGAACATACTTATAATCTGTTGATCCAATAATTCTACTCTTAGGTATATCACAATTAGAAATGTGTTGATAAGTGCAAGAATATATATTTTTTAATCCTTACCCAAGGATATTTTTCTATTTATCTTCATATAGAGTGGGGGGGAGAGAAAGGGGAAGAGAAACATCAATATGAGAGGGACACATCGACTGGTTGCCTCCTTCAAAACCCGACTAGGGCTGGGGATGAACCACAACCGTGCCTTTGGCCGAAATCGAACCCGTGACTCATTGGTCCGCAGGCAAAGCTCTGCTGATGCTCTACCACTGAGCCAAACCAGCCAGGGCTTTTTTTTTTAGAGAGAGAGTGGAAAGTAGAGGGGGAGGGGGGGAGGAAGGGAGGAAGAGAGAGATCGATTGGTTGCTTCCCAATCTCCGGGTTTCGGGCCGGGAATCAAACCTGAGATCCTTTGGTCCGTGGACTGACGCTCTAACCACTGAACAATCTGCCAGAGCTGTTGGAAAATTCTCGACTGTGCCCATTGTTCTTTATGCTCTGAACTTCAGGCTGTAATTTGTTCCTTTTGGGTGGTAGTCACCTTTTTGAATCATTGCTTAGAGCATAACTGACCTTCTTTGAGAACTACAGACTGACTACAAGATGGGCCTCTGGCAGCCAAATTTGCATTACAAAATAGAGACTTGACAACATAGACCACTTAGGATTCATAGATTTGATTTAATCTCTGCTGGTTCTCGAAGTGAGGCTAGGTACACTTGGACAGTCATGTTCTACTATGTTTCCAGAGAAGTAGTAAAAGCAAGTCTGTAGAAAAGAATGAAGCAGCTCTGAAGAGACAAGTAGCTATGTAAGAACATTTGACCACAGAGAAAGATAAAGAATATCCATAGCAGCACTATTCATAATAGATCAGAACTGGAAACATAAACGTCGAACAGTATAAAGGATAAATAAAATAATTACAGTATGTTTATTAAATGGGATATTCTACAAAGAGCAAAGTGAACAAATTGCTGCTATAGGCAGCAACATGAACGAATCTCACAAACATAAGATTGAACAAGAGAAACAACTGAAGAGTATGTGGTGCCTGTAATGAAAACTCCGAAATAGTGTTGAAAGTCAAGATAGTGGTTACTTTTGGGGAGGAGAGGGGGTATAGATATAGGGAAGAGGTACAAAGGGGGCCTCTGGGTGCTGAGGATTTCTCGCTGGGTGGTGTACACTTAAGAGTCGTGCACTTCTTGGCAGGTATGTTATACTTATGGACACTGGAGAAAATGAGGCTGTTTATCAGATGCGTATGTGTTTATCTGAAGATTATTTTCTCAAGGCACTCATGTTCCACCCTGAGAAAAGATCACTACATTTAAACTACTCAGAAATGCTCTTTTGTAATCATGGCTTACCTAATTTACTCTGTTCTTTCTCATTCCCTTGTAGTTCATCAGTGAACCTTTGGATCTCTTCATGGACCATCCTTAACCTCTTTGCTATTTGTTCCACATCTCTCTCTGTGCCGTTTTGTGATGTTTTATCTTTTTCTATATCTTCATTATGAGACTGAAATAACAGTACTGTTAGTAATAAAACAAAAAGTAAATGTACTCTTATGACATTGCACTATTTCCTATAAGTATTTAAAAACGAATAAAAGTAGAAAACAGAGTATTTCATTTATGTGCATTTTTTTTAAAGATATATTTTTATTGATTTTTAGAGAGAGAGGAAGGGAGAGATAGAAACATCAGTGACAGAGACACATTGATCAGTTGCCTCCTACATGCTCCCACTGGGGATCGAGCCCACAACCCAGGCATGTGCCCTGACTGGGAATTGAACCAGTGACTTTGGTCCATGGGTCGACGCTCAACCACTGAGCCACACTGGCTGGGCTCATTTATGTGCATCGTTTTATTAGGTAGAACCATATAAAATTGGTGATATTTGATTATTTTTTACCTATACACATGCAGTTTCATATGGTTTAACATAATGTATCTAAAAGATTTTAGTTGTATAGTTATTTTTAAAAATAGAAATTTTGTCCAGCTGGTGTGGCTCAGTGGTTGAGTGTCGCTCCATGCACCAAGAGGTTGCCAGTTCAATTCCTCGTCAGGGCATATGCCTAGGTTGTGGGCCAAATCCCCAGTAGGGGACATGCAGGAGGCAGCCAACTGATGTTCTCTCTCATCAATGTTTCTATCTCCCTTCCCCTCTCTTTTCTTCTCTCTCTAAAATCAATAAAGAAAAAAGATAGAAATTTAATCATAAAAATGAGTATCGTCTGGCAAGAAAAAAACTATTCTTCTCATTTACATGGAACATTAAATACAGTTTGTAAAATGCTTTCACATGAAGTATTTCACTTAATTCCAAGGAATACACACACTGAACAAGGCTCAAATCATGTTCAGAGCTCCTTTTCTGCAATTATTTTCTTTTTTTTGCATTTATCTTCAGACAGAGCGGGAAAGAGAGAGAAACATCAATGTGAGAGAGACACATCGACTGGCTGCCACCCACATGACCCCAACCAGGGCTGTGGACAAACTGCAACCAAGGTATGTGTACTTAGCGGGAACTGAACCCGGGACTCTCTGGTCTGCGGGCCGACACTCTAACCGCTGAACCAAACTGGCCAGGGCTGCAATTATTTTCAAAGCATTATAAAATCTAAGGAAGAAATTCAATCTCAGTTATATTTTGCTTTTGATCCCCCAAATATGTATTAATTTTATATAAATATAATCATCATATAAATTTTTCTGAAAGATAAGAAAACAGCAAATTACCATCTATATAACAAAACCACTTTTAACATATTGGTATATTTCATTGCAGTATTTTTATTCACACCATGTTTTACATAGTCATAATCACCATCTATATACAAGTTTCTGTCTGACTTTTTCATTTAACATGAGAAACATTTTCCACATTGCTGGATAGATTTCATAATGATAATTTTTAAAAGCTGTATAATGTTCCAGAGTGGGCATAACATAATTTATATAAGCACTGAAACATTTTGGTAGTTTCTAATTTTTGCTATTGAAAATAATATTATGGTATACAGTTTTATCTATATATTTTTTTCCTTTTCTTGGGTTAAATTCCCAGCATACACTTTATTCAGTGGACTTAGGTCTTAATAACATTTCCCCAGATAAAAAAAATTAAATTCCATTAGAAAAACTGATTATATTTAAAATAATGTGTTTTACATTTTATTTTATTTATATTTTTAATTCTCCCCTGAGGATATTTTTCCACTGAATTTCAGATAGAGTGGGAGTGAAGGAGAGAAAGAGAGAGGGAAGTAGAGGGAGAGAGAGGAAGAGAAAGAGAAAGAGAGAGAGAGAGAGAGAGAGAGAGAGAGAGAGAGGGAAATATCAATGTGAACACTGACTGGTTGCCTCCTGCACAACCCTAACCAGGGCCAGGGATTCAACCACAACTGAGGTACATGCCCTTGACCAGAATCGAACCCGTGACTCCCTGGTCTGTGGGATGACATTCTATCCAGAGTCAAAATGGCCAGGGCTGTGTTTTATATGTTAAAGGACTCCTCAAAAGAGAGGCTCCAAACATAATTGGAAAGACATATATAATATCCCAATTCGATTTTTCCAAGGTTATAATATACATTGATTTAATTTTGATACATTCGCCCTGGCCAGTTTGGCTCAGTGGTTGAGCATCAGCCTGTGGACCAGAGAGTCCTGGGTTCAGTTCCCGCTAGAGGAATGTACCACACACACACAAAAATTTGATACATTCGATTCAAATAAGCTTTGTGTTAAATGAATAATTGATTTTTTTCTTCCTAAATTTTTGTGATGTGCATAAAATATGCAGGATCACTTTAATGCACAATTTGATCATTTTTACAGTATCAATATATACACTGAAATATATTCAAACAAAATACTTCTACGGAAGAGCTAATTTGCAATTAGGTAGTACTATTAAGTAAAGAAATATATATATAGTGTGAGTGTGTGTGTCTGTATTTGTTTACCTCATTCAGATTTTTTTAGACTGCTTCCCAGGTTCTTGATGTTTCTGATGTTCTCTTTGCAGAAGCTGGTGGATTTGTTCAAATTTCTTCTAAATAAATGTCAAGATATAACCCTTTCTTATAGAACTTTCCACACTGAACTATAATGACTGGTTTACTCCTTTCCCTCGTTAGCTTATAAATTCCTTGCACTCCAGATCATGTCTAATTTGACTTTATTTCTACATCCACTAGCACAAAATAGGAACATGGAAAGTTCTCAATAAATAATAACAATAATGACAATTAATGTGTGAGGTACTATTCTAGAGCTTTATATACATTAAGTTATTTCATTTTCATGATCATTTTGTAGAGCAAGTGAGTCAGTCAAGGCTCACAAAAGTTAACTAAGTTCCTCAAGGACAAAAGAAGACCATCCAAACCCAAAGCCTGTATTCTTAAGTACTGCTAAATGTGGCTTCCTGATATTTTAATAAATGAATAATTAAGTGAACAAATGCATATTATTATTATTATTATTGTTATTTTGATCCTCACCTGAGGATATTTTTACATTACTCTTCAGAAAGAGCTGGAGGGAGAGAGAGAGGAAGAGAGAGAGAGAGAAACATCATGCAAGAGAGACACATCAATTGGTTGCCACCCAAATGGCCCCAACTGGGGCTGGGGATGAACCGCAACCAAGGCACATGCCCTTGGCTGGAATAGAACCCAGGATTCTTTGGTCAGTGACTGACGCTCTTACTGCTGAGCCATACCATCCAGGGCTTTATTATTATTTTTTAAAACTATGTTTATATTGATTTTTCAGAGAGAGGGGAAGGGAGACAGAAATAGAAACATCCATGTGAGAAACATCTACTGGCTGCCTCCTACATGCCCTCTACTGGGGATGAAGTCTGCAACTTGGGCATGTGCCCTGACTAGAATGGAACTGGGACCTCTTAGTCCATGGGACCAAGCTCAATCCACTGAGCCACATCGGCTGGGCAACAAATGCATTTTAAAACTTACTGTCCCTTATTCAGTCATCTAAATAATTTTGGAGTACCTGGGCACATTTTTTCTGTAGGTTACCGCTCATACATCTTTGTGACTCAGGCTTTGAGTCCCCAAGTTCCAGTTTACTCAAGAGTTTACTTCTGTCCACCAGTAAGTATGCAATCTGTTCGCTGGGGCTGCTCAGAGCTAGTTCAGAGCCTTCTTGATACCACATTTCTTTAACCTCCTTTATTTGTGCTTCTGTTAGGAAGAAGTAACAGAAACAAACTTAAAAGAAATGCAGGTAAATAACTAGTCTATAAGATGTTAAATAAGTTCTTAATTAGATAACAAATTAATTTAAAAAATAAACTATACTAATACTATGACACTTCTATCTCTCCAGGGTGTTTGCAAACTTTCAAAATTGTAACAAAAAAATTAGTGGAACAAGTTCTCAAAAGTAGTAAATATTCTTACTACTTGCATAAGTTTAAAATTTGTTCTTGTATAACTTTAAAATTTGTTTGAGTGCTTACTATGTGGCAGGACTGTACTAAGTATCTGAGATAAACTTATCTCATTTAATCCTTACAACAGCCCAGTGATGTAAGGAACCAAGATAATCCTTTTATGAAAGGACTCAGGCACCAAGAAACCAAATAACTTACTCCACTCCTGTTCTCATTTAGTTTCTTGCCCAGCTTAGATTCTATTGTCCATTATAATTACTCCCTTGAAAATATTCACAGCTCCCTTGCCTGTTTCCTTCCATTATATTTGGTTGGCAAAACTTCAGTCACTCTAAATCCAACTCTCCATCTCTTTTGCACCTTGCTTCAGAAGCAGAATGTAGCTGGACAAAACTGCACAGCCAACGCTGACTGATTTTACTTTAAATTCGTGTCTGCTGACCTCAAGTGAGCTCTTACGGCTGCCTAGCAATGCTCCTGCATTTCCCTGGTCACTTCTCCCTCTTATTCTCTAGAAACCTAGACCATTATTTCATTCCTTTCTCTCCTCAAATCTCCAGCATCTCCTTCCCCATCCTCACTCTCACCCTGCCTTTTATTTCACTGAGAAAAGAGAAGCTCCTCTTACCAAATCTGCCAACTCCCACATACTCTCCCCTCTTATGAGATTGAATGTACCTATCCTTGCTCCTAAGGCTAGCCCCTCCCCTTGCACACTGGATCCCATTCCCTCTTATCTCAAAGATAATACTCTTGCAATTGACTCTTCTCTCTATTGTCTCATCAAGCTTTCTTCCCATCTAAGCATTATAACCATCTTAGAGACATGTTATATCTCCCATTAAAAACAACAACAACAAAAAACTTCCTTCAACTTCATGGCCCCTCCAGCTTCTGTACCATTTCTTCATTATCCTTTACATCACAATTTCAAGAAATAACCCATCATACCCGTGCCCCCTCTTCCTCTCCTACCACTCCAGGCAGGCTTTCATATCCACCACTCCACAGAAACAGCTCCCAGCAAAGCCACTGATGACCTCCATGTGACCAAATCCAATGGTCCATTATGTGTCCTCATTCCACCTAGCCTATTAGGGGCATTTGACTCACTTGTTCACCTCCTTTCCTTAAGACACTTTTGTCATTTCTGAGGCACCACACTGCTGGTTTTCCTACTTCAAGTGCCACTCTTTCTCAGACTCCTTTGCTGATTTCTCATCTTTCCAACCTCTAAACACTTGAATATGCCAACCCTGAATTCTCTTTTTTCTCCCTAGGTTGTCTCCTATAGTCTCAAGGCTTTAAGTATTACCTATATGCTGATGATTCCAAATTTACAGCTCAATTGCACTGCATTGCAAATACATACATAACTGCCTACCTGACACTTCCACTTGGATGTCTAATATAGACCTCAACATTTACATGTCTAGAAGCAAAGTCTGTTTTTAAATTTTTTTATCCTCACCCGAGGACACTTTTGCATTATCTTCAAACAGAGCAGGAGGGAGAGAGGGAAGAAGAGAGAGAGAGAAACATCGATGTAAGAGAGATACATTGAGTGGTTGCCACCCACACGACCCCAACCAGGGCCGGGACAAACTGCAACCAAGGTACGTGCCCCTTAGTGAAAACCAAACCCAGGACTCTCTGGTCCACGGGCCGATGCTCTAACCACTTAGCAACCGTCCAGGGCCAGAAGCAAACTCTTTACTTTCTCCCCCATCTGAACAATTAGGAACTCCACCATTCTAACTGCTCAAACCAAAAAGCTTTGGGTCATCCGTGACTTCTCTGCTTTTCTCCCACCCAACATTAAATCCATTATCAAATCATGTTATCTGCACCTTCAAAAGATAATCCTTTAATTATATAAGCATTTCTAATGTGATTGATATACGTGTTCCTGAAAAGAAAAACAACCTGTATTTTGCAAAATTGCTCACTAAAAATAATAGAGCTTATTGAAAAAACAGATTCTATAGACCATTCACAACCTTTGTCACTGTGTAACTAGAGTGCTATAAAAGTCATTAATAATCCTAATAATTGCATTGGTTTATTTAAAGAGATATGTCAAATTCCTAGAAAAAAGAGGACACCATAGTAAATGTAAAACTTTGTGCTTTTTAAAAAAACCAAGTTTGCTGTGGCTAAAGGAGGAGCTGAGTCTGCAGAATAATGAAAACAAAGTCAGAATGCACCAAGATTAGGGATATCTTTGCAATGAGCACTTCCAAGGCAAGCATGGGGCCAAACTGAGCCTAGAAGAATGTGGGATGAATGGATTTTATGTACAAACTTCAGTGCTTGCTGGAAACCCAAATCATTAACATGCTGGGGAAAATTGGACATGATCTTCCATATTACAATGACATCATTCCCCTATTTACCAGTCCTTCATGAGCTAATTTATGCTGGCAGCAGGACATACAGTATGTTCTGTTTCATGCAGTGCCCTGAAAAACCCTCCTGCTGAGTAGAACTAAAAATGCTGGAAGAAGAGAAGTAGATTTGAGAGTTTAAGCTCCACTTCTCCATTCTCTGGCCACTGAATAAAGCCTGTACTGTCAAAAGTCAAAATAATAATAATATAAATGTAAAAATTTAAAGAAAACTCTTAAAATGCAACCACTCTACGAACAAAAATAGAATGCAAACTTTTAAATCAGCAGGAGAAAACTCAATATATCCAATGAAAAACAAGGAAACAAGAGGGTGGAAATATGTCCTAAGATCAACTCAACCTGCACCTGAGATTCATGATAAAGAAAACACTTGTTCATCAACAGACCCTCATAAAAGTTTTTTTGTTTTGTTTTTATCCTCACCCAAGGACATTTTTCCACCTTTTGTTCAGGTAGTGTGGAAGGAAGAGAGAGGAGGAGGAGAGAGAGAGAGAGAGAGAGAGAGAAATATCAATGCGAAAGGGACACATCGAGTGGCTGCCACCCGCACGACCAACCAGGGCTGGGGACAAACTGCAACCGAGGCACGAGGCATGCGCCCCCAGTGGGAACCGAACCCAGGTCTCTCTGGACCGCAGGCCAACACTCTAACTGCTGAGCCAAATCGGCCAGGGTGACCCTCATAAAAGTTTTAAAGACAAAAAAGGAGCCCTGGCCGGTTTGGCTCAGCAGTTAGAGTCGGCCCGCGGTCCAGAGAGACTCAAGTTCCGTTCCCGCTAAGGGCAAGTACCTGGGTTGCAGTTTGTCCCTGGCCCCGGCTGGGGTCATGTGGGTGGCAGCCAGTTGATGTGCCTCTCTCACATCGATGTTTCTCTCTCTCTCTTCCTCCCTCTCACTTTATCTGAAGATGAATGCAAAAAGAGTCCTCGGATGAGGATTAAAAGAAAAGATAACAAAGGAAAATGATTCTAAATGAAATATCTGAGATGCAAGAAAGAATGCTGAGCAAAGAAAATAAGAAATGTGTAGTAAATATAATCATTGACCACATCAATAGTACTGATTTGTAGAGCTAAATAAAGTAGAATAATAATATAAAATGTACTGTCTATATTTTCCCTTATAGCTTTATAGTACTTAATAAATATTTCCCGAATCCTTAACATGTTAGATACTTTATAAACAGGTACTGTGGGGATCACAGAAACCACTAAGACTAGGACATAATCTCTGCCCCAGGGGAGCCAACACAGGTAATTATGACCCAGTGTGGTAAGTGCTGTAATAGCCGTGGAAGGAAATAACCAATCTGTGCTCTCTCACACACATTTCAGAGTATTTCAGAATATATACTTTATTATTATTTTTTAAAAAATAAAAACAATTCAACATTATTTATTGTCAGCTGGGTAGTCCACACTGGGTAGTGAGCAAAACGAAACAGTATTTTTAGCCTATAACTCCAACAAAGGACAACTGAGAACCAAACTGTATTGCTTCTCAACAATTTCTCACTTCATTAGTCATTTCTAGGTGGAGACACTTTGGACCAGAGTAATATTATCTCCTTCTAGCATGATCTGACCTAGTTGTTTTCTTTGTTTTAGAATGAATCTCTTCTGCATCATCTAATATGAGGTTCATATACTCATCAAAACCAATGATACAGCCCTCTATCCACATATTCACTTGCTCATAAAGCCACACCTGAATCCGAGATCTGTTTTCCAAGTATCTGAAGATGAGGCTGATGGGCTGCACCATCACCTTCTGGACTTTTTTGCGGTATGCCATGGTGGAAGCTAACAAAGACTGAACACACTAAACGGCGCCCAGAATATATACTTTAAAAAGGCAGGCTGAAAAATACATCTAAAACATGACAAGTGCTTTTGTAATGTGGAGGACTTATAGTATTTTTTCCCTTCCTTCTACTTTTATACATTTCCCCAATTTTTTTTTTTAATCCTCACCTGAGGACATTTTTCCATTTTTGTTCAGATAGAGTGGGAGGGGGAGAAAGAGAGAGAGAGAGAAACATCGACGTGAAAGGGACACATCGAGTGGTTGCCACCCACATGACCCAACCAGGGCTGGGGACAAACTGCAACCGAGGTATGTGCCCTTAGCAGGAACCAAACCCGGGTCTCTCTGGACCGCAGGCTGACACTCTAACCGCTGAGCCAAACTGGCTGGGGCCCAAATTTTTTAATTGTCAATATAATTTATATAGTTAAAAAATTAAATTTACAAAAAGAGAAATTACCCTGTTTGAGTTGGAGCTCTTTAAACTCATGTGTAAGATGTTTGTTCTCCTTTTCATAACCATGAGAAAATGCTTCTCTTTCCTCTGGTAAATTACAAACACGGTTTGTATCATTTCCCACCTAAAGAAAATAATACATTTTCTTACTCAGTCCATGGTTCATATTTTAACCCATATTAAAAGTCTGTTAAGTGAAATAGCCATTAAGAGGTCACCACACTATTGTGCCTACAGTCTGAGAAACAAACAAGACTCGGCTCTCCTTCAGTGTGGGTCTCTCTCCCTAAACAGCTGTCTTATGTTATCAGACACCATTTCCCATTGATATGATGACATGTAACCACAACTTTTATGACAGTCACTATCTCTAATATTTTTCCCATTGATATATAAGGTTTCAAACCAAATCTTATCTATGGTTTAGGAAAGATGGTCATGATACCCATGAACAGTGAAAAATCTACACAATAATTATAATTATACGTATTTTCCTATGCTAAAATGTCTGAAATGTTAACAGGAGATTCTATTAAAATAAATTGTTGGGTATTCTTTAAAAATAGTTTCTGGTTAATAAGGCAGCTTCACAAAAGGTACTTTTATGTGGCCAATAATAACAGATTGAAAGCTAACTATATGCTCCAGGCACTAATATGTTAAGGACTTCAAATACAGGGTGGGGCAAAAGCAGGTTTACAGTTGTGAGTTTGTAAAACAGAGTTTATTTTGTATTATTATTAATGATTGTATTACTTTCCATATGATCAACTGTAAAACTACTTATGTCCCACCCTGTACTTAATTTCCTCCACAACCCTATGGGACTACAATCCTCCCTCTTTATAGGGGAGGAAGCAGGCTGAGAGAGGCTAAGACACTTGCCTTATCATGCAAGGAGTCAGAGGAAGCGCTAGACTGCACAGGCAGGTGGGCCGGAACCAGATGAGCCCTTACCGAGTGCCCAGATGCTGAGGTAGACTGCCCAAATAACTGAATTGAATTTTGCTGAATTGTTTTGAAGCCTAGTGAACACCTCTTCAGAATATGAATAGAAAGCTGAATGGTATAGAAGGAAAACAGGACTGCAGTCTAGTTTATAACTTCCTGGTACGCTTTAGTTTCCTCCTCTTTAAAATCGCAGGAAGAGTAATACTTATTTCTTTTTCTTTTTCTTTTTTTTTTTCCTCACCCGAGGACATTTTTCGATATTTTGTTCAGATAGAGTGGGAGGGAGAGAGAGAGAGAAAAACATCGACGTGAAAGGGACACATTGAGTGGTTGCCACCCACACGACCCAACCAGGGTCGGGGACAAACCAACCGAGGTACGTGCACTTAGCGGGAACCGAACCCGGATCTCTCTGGACCACAGGCCGACGCTCTAACTGCTGAGCCAAACTGGCCAGGGCGGTAATACTTATTTCTATTAATAAAGCTAGAATTTACGAAATACTTGTTAGGTGCCAAGTAGGCGTGTGAAAGGTTTATTCACATTTCCTTGTGTAAACCTCACAAACTTTTAACAAATTATCATCATTTTCAGGCTCAAAGAAGTCAGGTTATCTGCCCAAGGTTACAGAGAGACAGTACTAAAGGCAGTTTTTCACCCCCATCTGCCTCACGTTAACGTTCATGGTCTAATGTGCTCTAGTGCTTTTTTTCTGAAGGAACTGCATTCTTCTTGAAGAGTTTGGAAATCAGATTGCCCTCTAAGAGTTACATTTAAAAATCAACAAGTTACCTATCTGAACTGAGGGGTGGAAACACAGCAGAGTGATGATTCCCAAGAAAACTGAGAGAATTAACTCATTTAAAGAAAACATGTATCATATCAGAAAGTAGGTTGCTCAGTAATGGAAACATCAAAGAGTGATAAGAGAGTCAAATATGCCATTATTTACTCAACTAAGTGCTAGGTACCCCGATCCTAGGATATAACAGGTCTAGAAATAAGGGTAGGTATAGGTAGCCCTATTGTGTAAGTATGACTATCAATAACATTTCAGAACCATTTGTTCACCAAGTAAACTTACGATTAAAATTTGGCTTCCTCTCCTATGTGGTGTGCCTGCAGGGAGTAAATGCATCAGACCACAGAACATATGCGACTGGTTCCTCTGACAACCAGTCCAATATTTGTTATTGTCCATTAATAAGCTGCTGTCTATTTTTCTGAAAAGTTCTCTGTGAATTTGGTTAATACAAGAGTACTTGTCAGAAGAAGATCCACTTAGGTACCTAAGCCAACAAGCAAGAGAGTCAGCCAGAGGTCAGTTATTAAGATAAGGAGGAATTTACCAAGATAATGAAAGCTACCATGAGCAGACCTATTTGGATGTTCAACTAGTCATTTCTGGGCAATATCCTGTACGTGTCCTCTATTGGAAATCAATGCAGACTGTCGATATATTTCATGAAAAAAATGTACATGTGAGTGCTTTGCAAACTATATCATGATATTCAAATGCTGGGTTTTAATATGTTAATTTAATGGACAATGAACAAAACCACAGGTATCTTAAAACTTTGTTATTAGCTCTTACTTCTTTCATTTTCTCCATGTCCTTCACTGAAAGTTCTTCTAGATTTCTGGAAGCAGTCCTCAGCATGTCTTCACTGCACTGAAATAGGCACCAGACAAAATAGAATTATTCTTCTGTAGTAGTTATAAGGTTCAGTTCTTTCTTTCTCAAGACGGTGAAGCACGTCTTCTAACTGAGCTTTGTCCTTGATAGAAGATAGAGGCATATGTGTATGTACACACACACACACTACATGAGACTGAGCATGCAAGAAACCTGACATGTATATACTGGAGTGGGCAAAAGTAGGTTAACAATAATAATAAATAATACAATAATTAATAAATAACACAAGAATAAACTCTTTGTGTTTCATCTACTCACAACCTTTTGCCTAGAGTTTAGACTCTCTACAAAGAATAGTTTTCCTGTTGCTGTGTTACCAAGTTATAATGAGCACTTACATGAAATAGCCAACACAATAAAATCAAAGCTCTACACAGCTGTATATATTCTAAAATAAGAAATGACAATGATAGCCCTGGCTGGTTTGGCTCAGCGGTTAGAGCGTCGGCCTGCGGTCCTGAGAGACCCGGGCTCGGTTCCCGCTAAGGGCACGTACCTCAGTTGCAGTTTGTCCCCGGCCCTGGTCGGTTGTGTGGGTGGCAGCCGCTCGATGTGTCCCTTTCACATCGATGTTTCTCTCTCTCTCTCTGTTCCTCTCTCTCCCTCTCACTCTACCTGAACAAAAAATGGAAAAATGTCCTCGGGTGAGGATAAAAAGAAAAAAAAGAAATGACAATGATATATATAATGCAAATGTATGATAGTGTCTTTAAAAATACAAGCTTTTCTGTCTGCCCAGTTCTGAAGTTTGAAATTTAATAATCTGAAAATCTCCCAAAGACCCCTTACAATGTTATGAATTCCAAAGAAGCCTTTGTTCCCTCTAGTGAATGTATGTATTTTTAATCCTCACCTGAGGATGTTTTTCATTGATTCTAGAGAGAAAAGAAGGGAGAGGCAAGAGAGAGAAACATCGATGTCAGAAACATCAATTGCCTCCCATATGTGCCCCGACCAGGGATTGAGCCTGCAACCTGGGTATGTGCCCTGACCAGGAATTGAACCCATGACCCTTCAGTGCATGGGACGATGCTCTAACCAACTGAGCTACACCAGCCAGGGTCCCACTAGTATATATTTAGAAATAAAAGGACCCCTCTGCAAGTTAGAGAGCCTACTAATTCTATACTAGCAATTAATTATTTTGCTCACAGAATATGTCTTATCATTGATTATCAATGATTTCTAAGTCATTCAGCTCTCTTCTAAAACTTCTTACTCTAAGCCTGCCATCAATACTGTCTTTAATTTTTTTAAGTTGAAAATGGTCATGCTACATAACAGCTTGCACTACACGGTGGGTAAAAGATAAATATCTGCTGATTGATAAAGTGATATTTGTGTTACTAGGACCACACAGACTTGCTGTTATAATCAAATACGTACAGCTTTTAACCAAGTTGATCTGACCCAAATTGTAGTGATAAGCAAAATTAATATTATACCACAATTATACATAATTATACTGTTTTGTTTTCTTAATAACAAAACTAAATTTTTATTTTTCTCCTTTCTTGCTTAAATGTTTCACATCGACACTTTTTGTGGATGATATATAGAATCTGAATTATCATCTGATATTCACACTGAAAGAAAAAAGGACTCATATCTGAATCTTTGTACCCCCATGTGTCCTCCCCATGACTTACAGCTAAAAATCTTCTCGTACATCTCCCTATCCCACCCCATCGTCTGGTCGTCACTCAGACCCTCCTTTTCCCTACAAGGTCTCTGAGCACTAACCAGTTACTTGTGGTTTTAGTCCTGGGTATCAGATTGCCAAAAACACTAGAAATATATCCTATGAGGCCTATTTGGTAATATGAAAAATACTTATATTATAATGGTAAGAATGTAAAAATATTACAACAACTATTTGAAAACCAGACACACAAAGAAAAGACTGGAAGCAAATATATCAAAATGTTAAAACAAGTTGTGATAAACAGATGAGATTGTGAGTTAATAGAACATGAATGTTAGAATTATTACAAGTCCTCTGCTGTGGGTTGCTTACCCCCAGAAAGTAGCATAACCCCACCTCCCATGTTGTAGGGGAAAGTAGGAGAATCACAGAGGAGGATGAAAAGGGGATTTGGGATATTGAATCCTTTGTATTCTTGGTTCCTGGGAGATTTGGGGGTATCAGAGGTGAGCAGGGAAATAGGCAGAGGGGGCTTGTGGGTCAGGAGGACAATGTAGGCTGCAGATCAATATCCAAGTATATGATTCATTTGAGCTCCTAGACTTGACCAAACTCCCAAAGGCAGTGATCTTTAATCTCCATTCTACTTAGTCATCCATCCCCATGGCTACATCTGAGCCCTTGTTATAATCTGAACTGCTGTTGAAATCTGCAGTCCTAAACTCCAAATGTCCCACTGTGACCACCCTTTCTGTACTTCCTGCTCTTTTTCTGTGTGTCTATGTGGTAAATAAATAAAACTTAACACTTACCATTTTAACCATTCTTAAGTGTATAATTCAATGGCATTAAGTACATTCACAATGTTGTGTAACCATCACCACCATTTTTAGAACTTTTTCATTATCCCAAACATCTGTTCTGTACCCATTAAACAATAACTCCCCATTTCTCTCTTACCCCAGCCCCTGGCAACCTCTATTCTACTTTCTATCTCTCTACAAATCTCCCTATTTTAGGTACCCCATATAGGTAGAATCATACATTTGTCCTTTTGTTTTTGGCCTATTTCACTTAGCAAAATGTCTTCAAGGTTCATCCATTTTATAGCATCTATCAGGATTCCCTTCCTTTTTATTTTGTTTATCCATTCATCTGTTGATAGATATTTAGGTTATTTCCACCTTTCGACTATTGCGCATAACACTACTATGGACAAGTATCTGTTTGAGTCCCTGCTTTCAACTGTTTTGGGTAGACACCTAAAAATGGAGCTGCTGGATATATAATTCTATGTTTAACCTTTTGAGGAACTGCTATAAAAATATACACAATAGCCACATTAATGGGTGTGAAGTGGTTACTCGATGGAACTATAATTAATCTACAATTACTGTGAGACCTCCAGTTTTTGGACCATTACTTTCTCTCTTAAACTACCAGATACTCCCTGGTTTTCCCCTCAAACTGTTGATCAATTCAATCAATCTCTCACCAATGTCTCCAGTTATCTTGCTCCTTATCCCATCTTCCTTGCAAATCCCTGGAAAAGTTCAGCCATTTGACTATTCTCTAGCTATTTTAGTTTGCTGAGTGCTAATAGAGAAAAATAAAACAAGCATGCAGACTGGAGCCACTACAAATTCATGGTCTGCAGCCTGAGTCAAGCTTCGGGTCACTCTATGTATTCTTTTTTTTTTTTTTTATCCTCACCCGAGGACATTTTTCCATTTTTTGTTCAGGTAGAGTGGGAGGGAGAGAGAGGAACAGAGAGAGAGAGAGAAACATCGATGTGAAAGGGACACATCGAGTGGCTGCCACCCACACAACCGACCAGGGTCGGGGACAAACTGCAACCAAGGTACGCGCCCTTAGCAGGAACCGAACCCAGGTCTCTCAGGACCACAGGCCGACGCTCTAACCGCTGAGCCAAACCGGCCAGGGCACTCTATGTATTCTTTACCAACATCTGTTACCATTTTACTCAGTAACTACTCAGAACTTTCACCTCTCCACTCTCTTGGCAGATGACCTTGTCTCCCACAGCACTTGTAAAACTAAGGTCATCATAAACTCTGTCAGCTTTTTCCACTATCACCAACATACTAACCTTCAACTCTGGACACCTGTCCTCTTTCCCTTTTCCAGTGGAAGGGCTTTCCACCCTCCTGACCTAAGTTAATCACTCTACCTGTGTTCTAGATCCCACCCCATATTGCTTCCTCAAAGGGTTTTCTTTTCTGTATGCTCATTGTCTTGCCCTTAGCTCAAGAGGTCTCTGATCTCAAAAATAAATATACAAATATAATCCTCCTTTGATCTCAATACATTCCCCTTAAGCTATTGTCCTTTCTAATTTCTTCCCACTCTTTAACTCACTGCATTTTGGCTTCTGCTCTTACCACTGTACTTGAACTCGGTTAACAATGCCAGATCCAACTGGACATGTTTCTGTTCTTTTATATATGATCTCCCTACAGTATCTGTGATTCCTGAAAGTGATTCCTTTCCATCTCTGATGTCACTTTCTCCTGTTTTACTCTTAGCTCTCCAGGCTTTCCTTCTCGGTGTTCTTCCATCTTCACCCATAGACCCTTCAAATGCTGCCATTTCTAAGAACCCTGCCTTTGGCTCGCTGATCTTCTCACTATCACGGTGATTAATAGCTTGGGCATGGGAGTCTGACATACCTTAGCTCAAACTCTGGCTCCACCACTTTCTAGCTGTGCGACTTATACAAGTAATCTAACTTCTTTAAATTTTGATTTCCCTTAAATGAAATGGATATAATTGGATTGTTATGAGGATTAAATAATAATTCATCTCTGCTGAGCTCCAGATCTATCCAGAAAAAGTGGCAAGAAACAGAAACACACTGAAGTTAGAACAAATACAAGTGCATGTGGCAGAATCTGCATTGTCCTTCAATATTCATTCATTCCTTTTTCACAAAAATAAGACATCTAATTTTTTGTCCAATCACACAGCTGCCTGCCTTACTGTTTGATACAGCCTTATAACTAAGTTCTGACCAATGAGGTGTAAATGGAGTTGTGTGAAACCTCTAGGGAGTGTCCTTAAAGTAACAGGATGCCCTCTTTCTCACTCGTTCCTCCTTTCTACTGGCTGGAACACAGATGCGATAGCTGGAGCTTGAGCAGCCATCTTGGACACCATGAGGGAAACCCATATGCCCCGGATAATATACTATCATCTCTACATGATAGGACTTTCCCTGCTTGCTCATCAGCAACAGTGAGAACAGTTATTCAGATCCTCAACCTATATGACTTTTCAGATTAAGTCATTTCCATTCTTTTTTTCTTAGTTCAAATTTGTGAAAAAGAGACAACTATTAGTTGCTTACCCAATGAATTGTGCCCCCTTCTTTTAAGCTAGTTATATAATCCTCTGCAACTGAAGAGACAGGCAGGAGCAAGATCGTGAAGAATCTCTGGTGCCAATCTAAGGGGTTTGAATTATACAATCTAAGTTGTATAATTCAGTCTGTTGTGGCTGAAATGGCTGGAAGTAGTAGTACAAATATGGTCACCAAAGCAAAGATTTGTAGAGAGGAACAAGTTCCAGAGAGAGGATGTGGACCAGGAAGGCAATACAAAGAGTCAACTATTTAAGACCAGTGCACGTCACTGTCTAGAGAACAACTCAGTTTGAACAATCCACTCTTCTTTCTCTTACACCTGTTCCTCCTTCTGTTTTCCAGTTAATAAAATCACCATCAGTACAGTTTCCCAAGCCAGAAACCTGGGAGTCATCCTTGGTCCCTCCTTCTTATTTATATCACTCTCTTGCACAACCAGTCCCTAAATGTGTAGATTCTCTCTCTCTTTATCACTTTCTAATTCATCCTTTCCATGTCTATGGTTGCTATCTTAATTTAGGTTCTCCTCACTATTTGCCCAGTTTAGTGTAATAGCACCCTTAACTGATTTCCCTGCTACTAGGCTGGCTCCCATTCAAACTGTATTCCACAAAGCTCTCAGACTGATCTTTCTGAATGCAAATCACTTGCTGCTTAACATTCTCTTTGCTTTCAGGAAGAGTTCAAACCCCTTAGATTGGCACCAGAGATTCTTCACAATCTTGCTCCTGCCTGTCTCTTCAGTCGCATATTCTGCCACACCTTGACATTAGCTCTTCATGCAGTATACTTATTGATCCCCATCATGCTGCTTGTATTTCCATGACTTTGAACATTTGTGTCCCTCTGCCTATTCTGCTATGACATTCCAGGACTAACATTTTTTTCCAGTGGATTTATTGAGACCCAGTGGTTGAGTAAATTGAAAATTCTAAAAAATCAGATATTGAGGTAACATAAATCCAGTCTTTGAATTATACATGCTCTGACATTGAAACTGTGCCTAAAATTGCCCACATAACAAAGTATGCACACATACCATTCTCTACAAAGTAGATACTGAATAAATAAATGCTCAATAAGTATCTTAAAAGTCCACTCTTTGAAAAGAACATCATCCTATAGTGTTTTGGGGCCTTCAGAAACTTCCAGATGTAAAGAATGAGGTGGGAAAGCTGTCAAAGCAAACTGAGACAGAGACAGGAATTTTAAGTGAGGCGAGGGCAAGGAGAATGGGTGAGAGTCATTTCTACTTGTTCTTATTTCTCCTACAGTACGTGCCCTCGAAGGGCCAGGACCACACCTCATGCTATAATGCATCACCTGGCTTTGAGCAAAGGATGAGCTTTGGATCCCATGGCCTTTGAGTGACACTAGAGAACACAGTAAATAGCATGGCCACAAAAGCTGAAATATCCAGTCAGGTTATTCACCCTAACCCTTCTTTCTTTCTTCTACACAAATACAATTTAAAACTTAGACTTCTTAAATACTATATAGTATTTATACTATAAAATACTATACTATTTATACTATACTATTAAAACTGTATATAGTATAATACACAGTTTCTTCCTTTCCAATTCTCAAATAAATGAGAAAAGTAATTTTTTTTTAATCTCCACTCAAGGACATTTTTTGCATTTATCTTCAGACAGGACAGGAGGGGCGGGGGGAGAGAGAGAGAGAAACATCAACCAGTCCCTAAATGTGAAAGAGACACATCGACTGTCTGCCACCCACACGACCCCAACCGGGGCCAGGGACAAACTGCAACAAAGGTACGTGCCCTTAGCAGGAAATGAACCCGGGACTCTTGGCCCATGGGCTGACGCTCTAACTGCTGAACAAAACCAGCCAGAATGAGAAAAATAATTTTTAAAGTGAAAAACAATGTACTGATGTTTAAATGCTCAAAATATAAAAGTAAGTGAAGCCCTGGCTGGTTTGGCTCAGCGGTTAGAGTGTTGGCCCACGGACCAGAGAGATCCAGGTTCGGTTCCCGCTAAGGGCATGTACCTCAGTTGCAGTTTGTCCCCAGCCCCGGTTGGGGTTGTGTGGGTGGCAACGTCAATGTGTCTCTCTCACATCAATGTTTCTCTCTCTCTCTCTTCCTTCCTTTCTTCCTCCCTCTCTATCTAAAGATGAATGCAAAAATGTCCTCAGGTGAGAATTAAAAAAAAAATAAAAGTAAGTGAAAAAGAAAGGTAAAATACACACTATAACTAAGTAAAAATGTACACACATGAGCAAGGGCTGACATAACAGAAAACATGATAGGACAGGGTTTCCCAACCTCGGCACTACTCACATTTAGGGCTAGCTAATTCTTTGTTGTGGGGGAATCTTCTGTGCATAGCAGGATGTATAGCAGCATCCCTGTCCTCTACCAACTAGATGCCAGTAGCATAACCTCAGTTGTGACAACTAAAAATGTCTCTATACATTGCTAAATGTCTCCTGGGAAGCAACCCCTCCCAACCCCCCAGGTTTGGAACTACTGTGCTTGGGTGGGAGATAAAAACTTTTTTTTTTTGGTACGTGCCCCTAGCGGGAACTGAACCTGAGACTCTCTGATCCACAGGCTGACGCTCCAACTGCTGGGCCAAACTGGCCAGGGCAAAACATTTTTTAAAATTATTTTAACATGGCCATAATGATGTTTGTTCAGTATATACATATTGGATGGGAAAAGGAAAGCTCCTTATGATATAGTATCTAACAGACCTTTTTTTTCAAGAGTTAAAATGTACAGTTCTCATTTAATGCAAAAAAGGAAAAAGAAGAAAAGGCTGCAGAACTTGTTTCTCTTTTCCAATCCATTATAGAATTTCTCAGTATTTGGAAACCTGACTTGGCATCAAACATGAGATATCACAAATAACTGCTATAACTGGACTAAGAAATGAAAAATATCCAAACCATTCTAGCCCCAAAATACCTGTTAAAAATGTACACTTTGCATATCTTTGCAAACAGGTTTATGTTTTAATCTGAATACTGAAGAAGTAGTAACACTTGATTAGGAATACATACTTTAAGACAAAGTTTTCTAAGATAAAATACAATTGCATTGGATATAATTGAATTTCATTCTACTTTTAAGGCCCTCTGTTATAGTCTTTTTAGAATTATTAAGTCTGCCCTCTTGCCAAAAATATTTTTCAGCCACTCCTCCTCATTTATCACAGAGAATGTTTTCTGATCAAGAAACTGACATGAAGAGGAGGCACAAGAACTGTTTCAAGTATTTTCTTTCCAAAAATTCTATCATATCAAGGTGTTGGGTTCATGTGGGATTAAAGTTGGAATCCTGTTGCACGATCATTCTGAATGATCTTTTCACATGCATGAATACATCACTAAAATGTATGCCTAATAAAGCATTCACTTAAGCAAGCAACAATCTTTCTTTATATAAGCCTGAGATGGGTCCAGAATTGCATTTTTATTTTTCCCTCCCCATTTTAAAAACACACTAGGCTTGCAGTAATTTACTGTTTGTATTTACCAATGTGCCTTTCTCCATTCTAGTCCCTAGTTTTCTAAACAGAAAGCTAGCCATAGTGCAGAGAAACAGAGAAAATCTTCCAAATGACTCCAGGGCTAGAGAAAGTGAAATAAGTTATTCAAAGCACTGTAGCAGAAAAACAGGAGGGGGTCTCATAGATGACAGAGGTGGTGGAGACAAATGGATATTCAGTAAGGTGCAGCGTGGACAAGAAAGGGTGAAAATGGCCGTGGAAGAAGCAGAATGAGAAAATTGGCACTCAGGGTGATGAAAGAAGTGGATGAGGTGGTAGCTTGAAAGGCAGGTGAACTGACTTGATGACGTCTGATGTTTCGGATACAAAAGGCCTCCAGAGCTTCAACGGGAATTAAATAAGGTTCCGCATGGCGAACATTGGGCAACAAAGCAGAAAACGGCAGTTCTTTGTTCACAACCCGGGAAAGCCGTGGCTCGGTGCACTTTGTTCATTAATGGCCGAGAGTTTCAGAGCCTTCGCCTGAAAAGTGAGAAATGAAACGCCTCCCTAACTAACTGGGGGTATTCTAAGCACTCTCTAAATAAGAGCTGCAGACTAATTCTAAAAGCCTGTGGCTTTTAGGTCCCCCAAACGGGCGAGTCCTTAAGACAAAATCACTCTGGCCGGTGGCTAGAAAGGCCGAGCCAGAGGAGAGGCTTTTCTCCGGTAGTTTCGGGCCATACTGGGGAGAGAAGCGGGAAAGACCTGGAATGGTGAAAAAGAGCGGAGAATAGGTGCATTCCTCCTCGGGGCTGCGGCGGGAACCACAGAAAGCAGGCCGGAAACTGTCTTCCAGAGAGCGCGGTGAGGGTCCCGGGTCACTTCGCTCCCAGTAAGCTGCAGGTGCCTACGGAGCCCTGGGTGTCATAGCAACCGCGCTAGCCTCAGATGCCAAGACGTTCTTCCGGCGGGAACTATAGGAACGACGCTCCCCATTGGCTCAGAGGCTGTTCTTCCGGCAGAGACCAGCGTTACAGCGCATACCATTGGCCTTTGAGTCGTGGGGCGGGACTTTTCTGGCAGGAACAACGCTAAGGCTTATTCTGTAGTAGGCTTTGCAGTAACCCTGGTAACGCCATGGCATGCGTTTGTAACTTAGAGGATACTTTTTTGTCACTGAGCATTTATTATTCTCAAATAGCTTCTCTTCAGGCCTTATCTGGAGCCCGGGCATAATTACTTTGGATTTATTTTTCTAGAAGTTACTGCATTCTTTTTTTAAATCCTCACTGGAGGATATCCCCCCCCCCAACCCCCCATTTATCTTCAGGTAGAGAGGGAAGGAGAAAGGGAGTGAGGGGTAGGGCAGAGAGAGAAAGAGAGAAACATCCGATGTGAGAGGGACACATCGAGTGGTTGCTTCCCACAGGACCCCAACCAGGGCCAGGGACTAACCGCAACGGAAGGTACGTGCCCTTAACCAGAATCCATCCGACACTCATTGGTCAGGGGAGGCCGCTGTAACAGCTGAGCCAAACCAGTGAGGGCAAAAAGTTACTACGTGCTTAAAAGGAACAGGGTGCTAGGAAAGGAGTTATGAATTTTAGGCCCAGATCTGTTAACTACCTGGTGCAAATCACATTTTGGACCCGACTTATTATTGTAAAAATGAAGAGACAGGAAAAAAGTCCTAAGCACTGAAATTCGGTTTAGGTGACCCATTCCTCAACCTATGTAACGCAAAGTAAAAATTTCTAAATGACACAAAATTTTAACGTAAGCTCAGTTTATATAATCTTATTTTAGATGCTTTTATTGGAAGATACTAGTTAGTTCATCAAAGCTCAATTTTACTCAAGTTGAGCAGGCCCTTGCTTTTCTGGTATCCCAAACACATACTTACATTTCTTAGTCTTATTCTAGTTTTGCATAGGATCCTTTCCAAAGCACTGCCGGTTCTACATGCATTATCAGGACGGATTTTATCCCTTACTTTCTAGAACTGCTTCAACCCTTATCTCTGGCACCAGAACCCTTGCAAGTTTTTTTTCCTCTCACCTAAAATGCTCACCACTGTTATCATATCCTCAAGCCCACTTAACTCCTATTTATTAGTTCAAGTGTCACTTCCTCAGGGAAACATTCCTTGGTTCTCCACTCTAGATCAAGTTCTCATTTGCTCATTGACTCATGTTCCTCTTCATTCTTTCTTTCTTTGCTCACTTTCATTTGCTATTAAAAAACAAAACAAAACTCTTGAAATTTTAACGTGTAAATAGCGTGTAAGTGCTTGGAATGGAAACTAAACAAAATTGCCAAACACTAAATAATTTCATGTAGAGAAGTGGTGGTTGTTTCAAGCATAACAAAACAGGATAGGAAATGGTTCCCAAGAGAAGTAATAATTAAGGTAAAAACAAACATTAAGATTACTTCTAGGTTTCGGCCAGTGTGGCTCAGTGAATTGAGCATCACCCCATGGACTGAGAGGTCCCAGTTCAATTCCTGGTCAGGGCACATGCTCGGGTTGCGGGCTCGATCCCCAGTAGATCAATGTTTCTCTCTCACATTGATTTCTCTCTCTTCCTCTTCCTCTAAAAAAAATCAATTAAAAACATATTAAAAAAAGATTACTTCTAGTTTTAATTCCACTTATCCCCATTGTATACTCATAGATGATGACAGTCATCTGCATAAAGCTATAGACGTAGGGAAGAAAATCAATCTTTTACTTCCTGTCCCTTCAGTACCGCAGCCACTGCTGTCAGAACCCATTGCTTTCGAAGTTTTGCCCATTGGATGTAAAGTTAATTAAAATTATTTGTTCAATGGGACTGCTGCTTCCAGAACAGTTCTGATTACTCTGCTCAAGGTCACACTTTCTAATTTAATAAATTCAGTGTATCTTCGTACTTCTGTTCAGATCTTTTCTACTAAAGTTTATTGTACCTCTATTATGAGTCACATTGGGCTACTCTTCCCAACTCCAAAAAACATCACAAATTGCATTTTAAATTAAATATTTGTGTGAAGCACAGTACCTGCTTCTACCTAGTTTTTAAATTTTTTTCTTTATTGATTTTAGAGAGAGAGGGAGAAGAGATAGAAATATCGATGAGAGAGAACATCGATTGGCCACCTCCTGCATGCCCCTCCACTGGGGATTGAGCCCACAACCCGGGCATGTGCCCTGACTGGGAATTGAATTGGCAACCTCTTGGTGCATGGGTCGACGCTCAACTAATGAGCCACACCGACTGGGCTCCACCTAGTTATTAATGGTAGTTTTTCAAATTGCGCTGTGGACCATCCTATGAATCATTTAGGGGATTTTTCTGAACTACATTTTTTGTGCATTCCCAACCCAAAACACAGGACACTGAGAGCTTTGAAAACTTCTCAGGAATTCAGAGATCCAGCAGGGCACTAGCCCAATACTGTCTTGCTGAGTGAAGAAAACAGTAATTGCAACCATTTATTGAGTGTGAATTATATGCCCAGCACCAGGCAAATACTTTATCTTCAATTTTATTTAATCTTCACAACAAATGACATTGTTTTGTAGAGATTATCCTCCTTTTACAGACAAGGAAACTGAAATTAAGTCAGGTGTCTAAGTTTATAGAGCTATTAGGTGGTAAAGCTTTGAGAGGTCAAACCTGTCTGACTCCAAAGCCCATACATACTCTTTACCACACTGTAATGCTTCCCTCAGGTAGGGATGATCAGTTGGTTCCAGGTTGAAGCCCAGGTTCTGTCCCTGAAGAGCAGTTCTAAAATACTTGAAAGATACATTGTTAATTCAAACATGGAGTAAATCTAGGACAAGAAAGCAGAGAGTAAAGTAGTGGGAAGCTCATCATTCCTCAGGCAATCAATCTTCAGAGAAGTGTCCTTCTCTCCTAGTCCCATCTTTGATAAATCCCAAAGAACAACATTTCCACTGTGTCAACTTTTGGGCACACACTTTATTGCACTTAATTTTTTATAAATCCATTTCCCAAACTAGATATGTTTATTCATCTTTTTAATCCTCATAATCATTAAGGCCAACCACATTGTAGGCATCAACAACTATTTGATCTTCAAAGCATGGCCATTCATGAATACATAATCCACTTTATAGTATGAAGAAGGTTGCTATTCAAACCCCACATGTATATTTTAAGGAATATAATCCCCAATTAGCTCTTTTTTTAACGGTGAGAAACAACTCATGTTCATTTTCAAAATCAAGATGACACATTCAGGTTGAGTGTGTCAGGTGGGTTGGTCATAACTGTTTTGCTTTTTTCATTTTTAATGAGTATGAAATGACCTTTAAAAGACAAATAGCAAACCATATTTGCCTGCACACCACTCACTGCTTTTCCCCTTCATTTTCTCTCTCTTTATGAAAGTAAAGGATTTATTCCAGTTCTCACCATCTGTAAGAGCCCTGGTCCACTGAATAATTTTTGATCCTATAGTTTTTGATCCTTCAGTTTTTGCCTTGTATAAAAGCTGTGTGTCGAGACTGAAGATCATCCACTATCTTCTCTTCTATCTCCATGCCTTTTTCTATTTCTTCCTCTGATAGCAATAACTTAGTTTCTGAGTCTTTGGTTACAATAACCACAAAGGACCTACGAGACTCAAGGATATTAGCCACCACCACTTGATGTCGATAAATTTCCAAAGCATTGCGTGCACGATCAATTACGATAGAGGGGTTAGTCTCCAACTTAAAGGAAATTACAAATGCTTTGGGAGCCCAGTCTTTAACCAAAGGAGAAAGCATTTTTGGCACCATCTTCATTGTTATCTGTGTTGGAAAAAGAAAAGCTTAATAAGTAAACAAAGGTCACTACCTGCCAGGTCAAGCTCATGGGAAACTAAGGAAGCAGGGGTTCAGATTTTTGGCTACGTCAATTTATGTGGGATTTCTCATTGTCAAACTTTTCAAAGCATATTAAATGCTTAGCTTAAAAACCTTGGCTCTGTAGGATGCTTAATTTCAAGGCTTCATACATATTCTCGGGCAAACCATGTCTTATGAATCAGCCCTGCTTTGCCACCCTCATCACCATTAACAGAACTCTAAAGAACAGCATTACACTTTCAGATGTTTCTCAAACATCTCCCTTTAATTTTTTTTTTTCTTTATTGATTTTAGAGAGAGGAAGGGAGAGATAGAAACATCAATGAGAGAGAACATTGATTGGCCACCTCCTGCATGCTCACATTGGGGATCAGGCCCACAATCTGGGCATGTGCCCTGACTGGGAATCAAACCGGTGAGTTCTTGGTACATGGGTCATTGCTCAACCACTGAGTCACACCAGCTGGGCTCTCCCTTTATATTTTAAGCTAAACCTCCAAATAAATGCCAATAATCTATTCATGCAAAAGTTACTTTGGCAGCTCAAATAAAGTTGGGTTTTTAAGGCTCTTAGCCTAAAATATTTCTTGCACTGGTAGAATAGCTATTGGATTCCATTGAAAAATTGTCACTTGTAACACATCTTAGCACTTAGAACTGATTTTCTTTATTTTCATCAGATCAAAACTCCTACTATACCATTCTCAATCCCTTCTAAAAGGAATGTTAAGTTGTTTTGAGAATTTCCAAGATAGCACTAAAAAAATACAAGATAGCCCAACCCATGTGGCTCAGTGGATTGAGCTTAGTCCCATGGACTGAGAGGTCCTGGTTCGATTCTCTGTCAGGGCACATGCGGGGGGGAGGGGGGGTGTTTCAGGCTCCGTCCCCAGTAGGAGGCAGCTGATAGATGTATCTCTCTCACATCGATCTTTCTATTTCTCTCTCCCTTCCTCTCTCTCTAAAAAAATCAATTAAAGCATATTAAAAAAACAAAACAAGATAAACTAAAGCTCCCAGAATTTAGATAGCATGAAATCACTAATCATCAGGTTTTTCCCTTATAAAATTAGAAAGTGTGATAGGGATCATATACCCGTTGTCCACTTTATTTTTCTTCTTAGCATTTATCACTATCTAACATAGTATGCGTTTGACTTATTGTCTCCTCTACAGAGTATAAGCAACAGAAAGGCACAGTATATTTCTTTTCCCTTCTTTATCTCCAGGTCCTACAACAGTGCCTGGCATATAGTAGGTACTCAATAAATAAACATTTGTTGAAGAAACAAACAAATGAACGATCCTACAAGGTCAGTAAGTACCCCAAAGGTAGAGTTTCTCCTATTTATTTATCCTATTTATGGTACAAATTCTATTTGTATCATCTAATAAATGACTAAGAACTCCCTGAGGTTACAAGAAGCCAGATCACCTCACATCTCAATCACGCAACTACACCCCCATACCTCTTCCTTAAAGTACAGCAATAACCCCCATCCAACCAACGCATGCCCCTCTCGGCTTCTCTAATTCACCTTTCATACTGATGCCACAATGTTCTCAAACAAAAACACTACCTCATTCTCCTACTTATGTTTCCTGTGGCTCCACTGGATAAAAAGCCCAAGCTCATTTAGAAGGAATATAAAGTCTTCTTTGAATTAAGCTGTTTCTTCTGCCCTTCACTCCCACCACTCTCTGCTCACCAGCCTTATCAAACAACTTCAGTTGAGTCACTGCCCATTCCCAAACGCCAGATGTGTACTCTATCTGGAATGACCTTCCCCACTTTGACTGGCATACTCTCTGCTTATCTTTTAAAACTCAGTTCAAGTCATCTCCAGAAAGCCTTCCTTGATTTCTCAAGATTCACTCACACCATGCTCTGACTTCACTTTGGCATATATCACTCTGTGTTGTAATTATGTCTGTGTCCAGTTCCCTTACTAAATTGTGAGGTCCTTGAGGGAGAATGATGTCATACTCATCTCTGTATCCCTAGTGCCTAGATCATATGAAATGCATCAAGGCCATCTCTAGATCAAGAGGGAATTAACCCAAGATAGGTTTCAGGGGATCAGATCTCTGGAAGAGAAGCGCCCATCACCTGCAGTGGGCCCCCAGACGACTGGATCTTGTGTTCGGGCATTTCTGAGACAGGAACATAGAAATCTGACACGGCCGCAGCCAGGTAAAACATCGCAGAAGAGCCTGCAAAGAGAAGCACAGTGTGTAATAAATCGGAGGGGTGTATGGGATCAGCTCCTTTTCAACTCAGGGTCCCCTGCTGTGAGACCCATGGGTAATGAGGGTGTAAAGGGTGTCTGCGAAGAAAGACTGCCTCCGAGCAATCCAGGGACTCCGAAGGCACGCACCTAGCGGATTGAGCGCCTGGGCCGCAGCCTGCAGCAGATGTAAATAGTCCGCCAAAGTGGTGAACTCCACCGCCAGGAAAGTGCCCGCAGCCGCAGCCTGCTGGTAGCTCCTCAGAGCCGCAGCGAAGCCCGGGAGTGTCTTCTCCTCGACCTCCAGGCTCAGTAAGCCCGAATTGGCTGGGCTGGTGGGCCGCAGAGCCGACAGCCAAGTCTGGGGAGGGAAGCGGTGGGCAAAGGGGAAGGCAGAGCGAGCGCGATACAGGAACAAGACTGCATAGCCCGCAGCCAGGAAGGCCTCGGCCGAGGTTGCCCCGCGCCGCCCGCTGCTGAAGTTGTCAAGGAAGCGCACCGGCCGCGCTTCCAGGGGGACCTTGGTGCCGCCAGATGTCACTAATACTACCCGTCTTCCCTGCGCGCCCAGCCGGGCGGCGAAGCGAGCCATAACCTCGGCCCAGCGCGCAGCGCCGGCGGGCTGGGGGAACTCTGCGACCAGATCCATTTCCGCCATTGAATCCCAGGGCTCCCCCGCGCCTGCGCACACTCCAGGGCCGCCTGCGCCATGCCCCCTGCCCCAGCTGGCTCGCGCGCCGTCGCAATATGTGGGGAGGGTCGCTTCCCTACGCTGGGTGCCAGCTCCGGATGTCTCCACGTCTGGAGATGCGTGCGGGTTCTGCTTCACAGCCCGGCGAAATTGACACTGAGCAGACGCGAGTCGGCTGGGCAGGCATCTGGAGAGCTCATAGTCCCCATTTCCTAGTCTGGGTCAAGAACTGGTGGCGTTTGACCCTTACCGGCCACCGTACAGTCTTTTCTGCATGGACTCCATTGGTATTAGATTGCTCCGACAGCAAACTCTGGGGTTGGGATTTGTGTGTGGGAGGGATGGTTGGTTGTCTTTTTTTTTTTTTTCCGCTTTGTAAACCCCACAAACGTACTCCGGTTGTTAGTCAAGCCACGCCCTCCCGCCTACCCTTGCAATGCTGGGAACGAGGGTGCCCCGTGGTGGTCACGTGCCAAGCGCGTCCCGCGTATCGTCACCCGGCAACCGTTCTGGAGACTGACTCCGCAGGCTGCACCATGAATGTGATCTACCCCCTGGCGGTGCCCAAGGGGCGCCGGCTCCGCTGTGAAGTGTGCGAAGCGCCAGCCGAGCGGGTGTGCACGGCCTGCACAGTCACTTATTACTGGTAGGCCCTGAAATGTGGCCCCTAGGCACCTCAACTGCCTCTCTCCCAATCACCCGTCTGGGTCTGGGTGTCGGTAAGGGGGTTTCCAGACAGGTCGCCAAGACTTCTGTGCCTCGTTTGCGTCTTGTTCTCATTGATCCTCATTTTGCTGAGCGCCTATGCTCTGTTAGTCATTGAGGGAACTTGGCGGACCATGTCCGTCAGAGAGCTAATAACATGTTCAAATGCGACAGACAGATATGTAAACAAACAGAAAATAAGATAGTTTCGGAGAATGATAAATGCCATAACGACACAGGAAATGCAATGGGAGGTTGGGCAGATTGCCGCTCTGAGGGTGGACTGTCTATCTGAAAGTAAAGTGGGAGCAGCCTGCCATGGAAGGGGCGGGGGGAAGAGTGTCACAGTAAGGCTCTGAGAGAGAAAAGACTTGGCTATGTTTGAGGAATAGAAAGAAGGCTATTTGGTGCACAGCCAAGGCTGAGGGTGTGGGGAGGGTAGTACTGGATGAGATCAGTTTTCATTTATTCAGTGTAATATCCCTTGACCTTTGCTTTAGAAGAGACCCTATTTGGGGCCTGAGACAAATCAGCTAGATTGCTGACTTCCAGAAACCTAGGGCAGAGCAGATGAACTTGTTTAAAAAAGAAAGTCATTGTAATACACCCTACATGACAAGTACTGTCACTCGGGGTGTGCTATTCCCTGGGACTTCTAAGGTGGAAGCATGGTGATTGGGGTAGTATCTGGAAATGTTCTCTGAAGAAGTAACATTTGAGCTGAGTCTTGAAAGGGTTAGTAGAAAATTGCTAGGTTAATGAAGAGGGAAGTGTAGGACATTCCCGACACCCAGGACCACCTGAGTGAAGGGTGAAAGAACAGTTTATTAAGAGCTGGGTAGAGAAGGTAGTAGTGGAGGGAGCAGTCACTGATTTTTAAGGAGTCCAGGACCCTTTAGCAGATCATGAATAAGTCACAACCAGCATTTTAAGAAAATAATAGAATAAAAATTATCGGAGTAATCCTACTTGAACTGTCTCTTGAAAATTTTAGTGTTTTTATGTGGGTATGTGCGTTTCTATTGGTAAAATGTATTTCATACTATAGGTTTAGTAAAAAAAAAAAAAAGTTTGAAAATCATTGTGATAGGTAGTAATAGGAGTTTAAACCTAGAACCAGTTTGGCTCAGCGGTTAGAGCATCAGCTGGTGGACCCAAGAGTCACAGCACACATCTTGGTTGCAGTTCAGTTCAGTCAATGTGTCTCGCTCACATCGATGTTTCTCTCTCTGTATCTCTCTGTCCCTCCCTCCCTCCATTCTTCCCTCCCTCCCACTCTATCTGAAGATAAATGGAAAAATATCCTCAGGTGAGGATTTAAAAAATAATAATAATAAAATAAAAAATAGCCCTGGCCGGTTTGGCTCAGCGGTTAGAGCGTCAGCCTGCAGTCCAGAGAGACCCGGGTTCGGTTCCCGCTAAGGGCACGTACCTGGGTTGCAGTTTGTCCCCGGCCCTGGTTGGGTCGTGCAGGTGGCAACCACTTGATGTGTCCCTTTCACATTGATGCTTCTTTCTCTCTTTCTCGCTCTCCCTCCCACTCTAGCTGAACAAAAAATTGAAAAAATGTCCTCGGGTGAGGATAAAAAATAAATAAATAAATAAATAAAATAAAAAATAGTTGATCATCGACCCATGCACCAAGAGGTCGCCAGATTGATTCCGGTCAGGAAACACGCCCAGGTTGTGGGCCCAATCCCCAGTGAGGGGCATGCAGGAGGTGGCCAATCAGTGTTTTCTCTTATTGATGTTTCTATCTCTCTCTCCCTCCCCTTCCTCTCTCTCTAAAATCAATAAAGAAAAAAAGTTAAAAAAAATAAATAAACCGAGAAGATCAAGATTAGGGCCAAACAGTGACATGAGCTAAAAGATTTTTGGAATTTACCTCTGGAAGGTCATGGATGATTTTGGTAAGTTCTCCTTTGTGTTAAGATGACAGATAGCAGTATGGAAGTTAGTCTGGAAGGTCGACACTGGAAGCTGCATAACTAATTGAGAAGTGGTTGCAGTGGTCTCAGTGGAGAGTGAACATACTGTACCTCTCAGACTGAATTAAGTGCCCATCCTTGCTCTCACAGCATTCTATGTCCCCATCCTAACTTATGACACGCTTTAAAATCAGTTGTTCAATGATGTATACTCCTCACTAGGCTGTGTGGCCCAGGAGGGCAAGGATGGCCTCTGTGTTTTCATTGCTGTTACTTTATTGCATTTAGAATACAATTCAGAAATTGTGACAGAAACTACAGTCCTGTTTACCTCTCTACCTTCATTTCCCACCACACTCACCCCCTTTTTCTTGATGTAGTTACAGAGACTTTCTTTCAGTTCTAATTTGCCAAATCTTTTCCATTTTCAGTTTCTTTGCCCTCTGCTGGGAACCTTCCCTTCATCCATGACTCTTCCTAGTTCCCCTCATCCTTCAATTCTCAGAAATGTTATTCAAAGAGGTTTTCTAGAAAACCCAATCTGAATACTCAATCACTTTTCTTCTTCACTTTACCTGTGCTTTTTTTTTTTTTAATTCTCACCGGAGGACATTTTTCCATTTTTGTTCAGATAGAGTGGGAGGGAGAGAGAGGGAGAGAGAGAGAGAGAGAGACATCGACGTGAAAGGGACATATCGAGTGGCTGCCTCCCATATGACCCCAAGCAGAGCCAGGGACAAATCGCAACCCAGACTACCCTTGATTGGAATCAAACCCATGACTCATTGCTGAACCTCTAACCGCTGAGCCAAATCGGCCAGGGCTACCTGTGCTTTTATTTATTTATTTATTTATTTATTTATTTACACACACACACACACACACACACACACATCTATAGTTTGTTTGTTTGTTTACTTCTTTAATATCTGTGTCTCTTACTAGACCTAGTACCTGCACATACCGGGCACTCAATGATCATTTATTGAATAAATGAACTTCTAAATGGATAATAAACCTATTAACTGGGGCAAAGAACAGAGGAGGTGGTGGATGACAGATTGAATTGGGGACATAGTTTGAGTGACCTCAGGCCACTTGGAAGAGGTGGCTGGGAAACAACTTTAAGTACAGACCTGGTATCCCTTTGCCTAATTATAAGCATCTACCTCTTCCCCTGTCCCCACTTCATCCCTCTAGGCATAAGTAATTACTTCTTCCTCTTCATTCATTTTGAAGTTATTCTGTACCTCACAGACAACTTTTTATTTTCCCTCTTCATTTTATTTGTTGGAAAGCATATTATCTCAATTTTATGATGCTCCATTAATACGGGATACTGCATCGAGTATGTGTAGAAGGACTCTCGTGTGCATACCGTCTTTTCATCTGTTTCAGGCCCATCTGAGTATGCCCACAGTCTTCAGAAAAGAGTCTTGAAATAGCTGAAACTAAATACTTGATGAATGTATGAATGACTAAATGATCATGTCCTATACCCTTATCCTCCATTATTTTTTTTGTCATTTCTCACTGCTTTTATTTATTTTATTTTATTTTTTATTTTTTTATCCTCACCTGAGGACATTTTTCCATTTTTTGTACAGACAGAGTGGGAGGGAGAAAGAGGAAGAGAGAGAGAGGGAAACATCGATGTGAAAGGGACACATCGAGTGGCTGCCACCCGCACGACCAACCAGGGCCAGGGACAAACCGCAACCAAGGTACATGCCCTTAGCGGGAACCGAACCCAGGTCTCTCCGGACCGCAGGCGGACGCTCTAACCGCTGAGCCAAACCGGCCAGGGCTCTCACTGCTTTTAATACTCCTTAAAGTCTTCTTTTCATTTTTTCCCCTCTCTTTTTCTCCATATTTCTATATCATTGTGCCCAGGAGATTACAAGATTTTCCTATAAAATAAAACTGAGGTAATTGTTCTATATCTCAAAAATAGGAGCTTTACTGCCCTCTTCCTCACAGGGTTTTCATGGTTGGATATTGAGTTGGCACGCAGTATCTATGTATTTATTTCCCTCATCCCAAATGTAAAGAGCAGGAAGGACAATCAATTTGAATTGGTGAAAATTTTTTTTACAGCCCTGGCCAGTTTGGCTCAGCGGTTAGAGTGTCGGCCTGTGGTCCGGAGAGACCTGGGTTCGGTTCCCGCTAGGGGCACGTACTTCGGTTGCAGTTTGTCCCCGGCCCTGGTTGGTCGTGTGGGTGGCAGCCACTCGATGTGTCCCTTCACGTCGATGTTTCTCTCTCTCTCCTTCCTCTCTCTCCCTCCCACTCTATCTGTACAAAAAATGGAAAAATATCCTCGGGTGAGGATAAAAAAAAAAAATTTTTTTTACAAAAGGATTTTTTCCTGAGTCTAAATATAATTAATGCTCACAGCAGAAAACTTGAAAACACAAAAAAATAAAGAAGAAAAATAAATCTATAATCCCACAACCCAGAGATTAATAACCTGATATTTTGGTGAATTTTCTTATATTATTTACCTATAAATCTATTTATTTTATATACTGTGTGTAATCTTGTACATATCTTTCTGTATTGTTCCCAAGGAATAGAACCCCCCCCCCTTTTTAATGTCAGTTTTATTAAAGTATACACTGAGCCCTGGCTGTTTGGCCCAGCAGTAGAGTGTCAGCCTGCGGACCAATGAGTCGCAGGTTCGATTCTGGCCAAGGGCATGTACTTCAGTTTCAGTTCATCCCCGGTCCTGGTAGGAGTTGTGCCGGAGGCAACCAGTCAATGTGTCCCTGTCCTGTCGATGTTTCTCTCTCTCACCCTTTCTCTCCCTGCCACTCTGTCTGAAGATAAATAGGAAAATATCTTCAGGTGAGGATTAAAAATACATAAATAAATAAAATATACACTGAAACATTACAGAGAGGTATAAGAGGCTTCAATATTATAGGTTAACAAATTATAGCATAGAGATAAGAGAATTTGCAATAATTTTTCCTTTTATTTAACATATGGGGCACGAATTAAAATGCCTTCA